TTCCGTTGAATGGGCACTTGGAGGTCAAATATTTGAGGGCAAAGTTCACAGTAGCGGCCTGTTTTTTCTCAAGCGGGCGAGCAGAGGAGTGAAAATTTCTCCTTCGAGGTCACTCCGCTCCCTTCACTCTCGCACTTCAGTCAATGCATATTATTTTTGACAAAATTTCACAATCTCGTAATTGGTGCATACATTCATTTAATTTCATATTTGCTTTTAAAATCCTACTATCCACCGATCCGTATTTAAAAAATGGACGATGGGTTCAATAAATTATAAGTGCATATCGATTAATCAATATGTATTCCAAAAATATACAACGAAATGTGGCAATAAAAATAAGTCAACTTTAAGGATTGTGATTTATAATTAATTAATACATTAATTAATTAGACGCACTTATAATTTATTGAACCCATACCTGTGCAGCTTCACTCAATTTACGAAAATTGAGGCTTCATTCACGATGAGGGAGTGAAGGAGAGTGAAGCTGAGTGAGGGAGTTGAAAACTTTCATCGAGTGAGTGAAGCTGAGTGAGGGAGGCTCAAACGAGAAATGAGTGGAATGAAGAGTGAAGGAGTGAAGATCTCCTTCACTCCTTTGTCTCCGGGGAAGAACAAGTTATGCGGTAAAACCGCGGAAAAGGATCTACTTTTTCCAATACCTAACGTATTAATTCACAATCTATGAGCGCGAATTTTAAAAATCGCAAGATGTTCGTAGTCCAAGGTTGATGTCGAAAAATGTGTTAATCTAACTTGAAGCTTGTCATATCTGATTCTATTCAAATGTAGTTGGGAAAATTCAACAATATTAACTTTAAGCTTGTGGAGAAAATGAATACAACTTTTTGAAAATTTCAATGTAGCGCCTCAAAGAAGCCTTATTTCGAAAAACAGGTCCTAATGAGGGCACACCCCCTACATCTCAGGAATACGATTCAGATGAGATCCTGTCAAAAAAATCAAATTCGTGGTATGTTGTCTCAGTGAGAATGAAATGACACAAAATTTTGAATTTTCATGCTCTTGAGAAGCATTGTTTCAAGAAAATAATGTATACAATATTTGGCTATAGCCAAATGATCTGCGAATATGATAAGTTAATATTTGCAATGGTTCCCACCAACTGGGGTATACTGAGATATTCAGAATGTGTTTTATTTAAAGGAATCTAAATTTTCAGAAAACCAGCGATAACTTTTCAAAGAAGGCGAATTTCGAAAACATGGTTATCTTGAGGGCACTGCACATTATCCTCAGGAATATGATTCCAGTGAGAATGACTCAAGAAATCGATTCTGTGAAAAATTTTCTCCAGCGAGAATGGAGCGCCCTCAAATATGACATTTTGAATTTTCCCGCCTTGGGGATGCTTTATTTCAAAAAAAGTTTCAAACGTTTGTTGTAGCCCAACTATCTCTGCATTTGACTCCGTCAATGGTTTTTGTCTATCTGTCACTCAGATCATTTGAAAAAATATTTTGCGTTGAGATCACGGCACAGAAATTATTGCATGTAAACGTGGATATTTCAAAAAGTTTTAGAAATTTTGAAAAACGGCATGCGTACCCTATCCCTCGATTTTAGAGATGATTATAATGCCTTTAACCGAATTGCTCTATCTCTTAAGACGGACCCACACGAGCCCTCTCAAATTAACATTGGCTGCCGTGATAACATACTACCTCTTCCACATATACTTCCATGGTGCATGAAAGTAAATGGGGAAAAAAGTAGAAAAATGAAGAAATATAATTAGCTTACACACTAAACTCGCCGTCGCAATATTAAAACAGTGCGTCTCATATCACCCCAGGAAAGTTTTATATTACCCCAGTCCAGTCTCATGTGGTCCCAGCCTAGTCTAACAATGCTCCAGCCCAGTCTCACATTGCCCCAGCCTAGTCTCACATTGCCCCAGCCCAGTCTCACATTCCCCCACTACATGGCGCCAAAATATTTAAATTATGATGACACGAGGGACTTGATTGAATGACAGAAAGAGTGAGGCAAATAGGTGAGTGAGGGGAATGAGTGATGTGAGAAGAATGAGGGAGTGAAGGGAATGAAGGAGTGAGATTGGGATTGATGAGTGAGTGAAGCCTCACTCAGCCTTACTTCACGCGAATGAGGGGAGTGAAGGGCTACTTGGCCCGAGCTGAAAATGAGTGAAGTTGAGTGAAGCGAAATTCGCTTGCACAGGTATGATTGAACCCATCGTCACTTTTTTTATTACGGATCGGTGGAAAGTAGGAATTTAAAAAGCAAATATAAAATTATATGAATGCATGCACCAATTTACGAGATTGTGAAATTTTGTCAAAAATAATATGCATTGAATGAAGTGCGAGAGTGAAGGGAGAGCGAGTGACCTCGAAGGAGAAAATTTTCACTCCTCCGCTCGCCCGCTTGAGAAAAAAACAGGCCGCTACTGTGAACTTTGCCCTCAAATATTTGATCTCCAAGTGCCCATTCAACGGAAAGATAAGTACCACGTCATTTCTAATTTTTATCTTGATTTTTTAGCATAAGTCACTAAGCTTATCTCGTGTAGCTTGAAAAAAGGTTCCATTGTGAGTTATTTATTCTAATTTTAAACTTTGAGAACTATAATGTTCATTATACTTCCCTCTATGAAAATTTGTTAACGCCTTATTGGTTATCTTTAACTATCGTTTAAAATTTGGTCGTATTTTCTCAGAGGACGTCGTCCATCTACATGTCAAACTCAATGGGGTACAATGTGAAAAATGTGGTGAAATCACAAATACACTGCGTACTGGTATGTACACTGAGGGGATAAATTGTCCGTCACGGTTTAACATAGCTATATCTCGTACAATTTCATAGATATCAATTTGAAATTTTGCATAGTTGTAGACAATCGCATTTGTGATGAAATTGGACTCATAGGTTGAAAAAATAATGCAAAGGTCAAAGGTTACGATTTTTTGACCTAAAACCTCAAAAGTCAGCTACATCAAGAAAATTTTTTTCTTGGTATTTTTATTTTTATAAAGTTAGGGCAAGTCATCCTGAGCATTTTGATATGTTGGTCACCTCTGTGCGATTTTTTTTGTGCCCACAGCGATTTTTTGAAAAGTGATGTTTTGAAAAGTTATAACATTGGGCTTACGGGAGAAAATCTCAAAACATCACTTTTCAAAAAATCGCTGTGGGCACAAAAAAAATCGCACAGAGGTGACCAACATATCAAAATGCTCAGGATGACTTGCCCTAACTTTATAAAAATAAAAATACCAAGAAAAAAATTTTCTTGATGTAGCTGACTTTTGAGGTTTTAGGTCAAAAAATCGTAACCTTTGACCTTTGCATTATTTTTTCAACCTATGAGTCCAATTTCATCACAAATGCGATTGTCTACAACTATGCAAAATTTCAAATTGATATCTATGAAATTGTACGAGATATAGCTATGTTAAACCGTGACGGACAATTTATCCCCTCAGTGTATAGACTTGGGAATCACCTCCTCCCCGATTGGTAATAGCTGGTTTCTGACGGGTGAGTTTTCATTACCACAAAGGTATAAATATGTCAATACTCCGAATATGCCTGCTATTTCTTAGATTGTGCGCATCCCGTTGGATTGAGAACAGACACTCTCTCGTATGAGAGAAAAACATAAATTATAAATGTTCTTATCGGCTCTAAAAAACGCTCAATTTTACACAAAGTAGGCGTTAACTAATTTTTTAAAAGCATATATACATAGGTTTCGTGGTAAATTCTAAACACGATTTCAAACCGTTGTGTCACGCATGCCATGATTCGGGAGTTGAGTCACAACCCACTTTGCTCCTACAGTATGTCACGAAATTGTAGATGCAACGACATATTTTTTATTTCGATATGATCCTACAATTTCTAAAATTCCGAACTTCGGGATCAAATGTCAAAAGTATCTACGGAAAATTTCCGCGTCGTCGATTTTTAAAGTCACACACAGGTCAAAGGTCAGCATTTTTTTAAAGATTCAAAATGCGAGGCCAAAAATAAAACTCCATGGATAATTTTTTTTCGACTTTCTAATATTTTTTATTGGACGCGGCAAGGCCTCACGAAAAAAATGAGCTATCGTATGACCGTGTACGATTTTTTTGACGCCCACGGGAATTTTTCGCCCAGGACAGTTTGGAGGTCTAAAATCGTGACCGTGGCGAAATTCAAACAATTGAAATATGCAAAACCATATTGACATCGAATACATGCCGAACGTAATTATGCATAGCTGATTTGATTCTTGACGCCAAAGATACATAAGTGACACTGGCTTCCATTACTTTCTTATTTTTTGTCCAATTTGAACCAAAATTTGCAAGTCTTTATGGTAAGCTGTTTTATTAATTTGAAAAGCTCATAGATATTTATTCATAAGTTTCAATTATTCACAAAATTAATAATTTACAAAAGTTCGTACTTAAAAAATTGGCGATATTTTAATTTTCCTAAATTTCCCTATTGTATATTCGTGCAACATTAATCAGCTTGCTACAAATTTACCAAAAATTTAGTCAAAATGTTGGGACCATAGATAAAAATGTGATAAATTTAAAGGGGTAAATCACTTGTTAGTTGTCACGTGGACACGTTAGAATCGCGTCCAACACATACAAGTTGGTTTAAACCTTGTCTCGCTACAATGGAGAATTTTTCAAAGGGAAAAGTTCGTAAATTTTCGATATTTACCGAAATTTTGCATCTGAAACTCGCGATTTTAAGAAATTTGATATTTTATAGGTTCCATCAGTTTTGATATATGTACGAGTTGAGCAATCAACAAAAATTCCAATTCCTCTTGACCAATGGCGATTTATGTATGCACATACAAAATTGTCCATTGCACCGAGACATTTAAACCACCCTGTATGTACATATTTATGTATATACATTTGTAGCACGGTAGCTGAAAAATTTCAGCAGTGTACACTCTTAAGAATAATATTACCCTCTTGGAAATTTAACTATACTAAATGCAGAGTAAACTTTGTTCTTTATTGATCAAGTTACATAATGTTACTTTGTATTTGGTTAAGTTTGCTTAACTTAGAATTACGAGTAATTTTTTTTAAAAGTGTTACATTATTTTTAAGAAAGCGTTATCAATAATTTATAGCTTTAACATATTTATGTACAAGCTCATTTCAGATTTACATAATAGAAATTCAAAACTTAAACCCATAAATAAGTAAAAAAGAAAAAATCTATATATTTATATTGTAATGGCCGTACTCACGACAAAATTCGGATATCTCAGAATTTCACCTTATTAATCATAACTCATTTAGGTTAGTCAAATTTCGGCATTTCAAAAAGCGTTTTGATGAATCACATTGCAAGTGCGGATTGCCAATGCTCTGCTGCACAATTGTGCTAAAATCTATGTACCTGCACAATACTTATGTAGCAAACCATTTTTTGCAAAAAAATTTGTTCTGCAAAATCTATTGAAAATTTTCACATGTAAAGAAATTTAACGAATTTCACCATATCTATTTTAATATGCAAAGGGTAATAAATAAATTTACTTATACACTCCAATGAATTACAAAAAAAATATTAGATATTCGATCGTGCAAATCACGTGCAAAAAAACACAATTTATTCCCAAAACTCCAAATTTCCCCCCAGCTGCGAAAACATTTCCCCCATGAAGAAGCCTATCATGATTAGCACGGCCATGAGTAAGGTGGCCGCGAGGGCGGCCTTCCATCAGGACGGCTCCTTGATCTCTCTCCACTTAAGGAATCGTTCCAATGCACGCTCCCACTCGGCGAAACGGACCTGAATTCGCACCCCGTCCTCCACACCGTGAAAGATACGCTCCACTCGGTAAAACTGGAGGAGGTCTTCTCGTGAACTCCAGAATCCTGAAATGCATAAAATCATACTCAGTTTTTGAAGTTATAATAAAAATGTTTGTGACATTCTCGTTTTTGGAAATTTTTCACAAAAATAGTGAAAACTCTGTTTTTCTGTTTTTATTCACTAGCATATTGCAAGAAAGACATATTTCGAAAATATTCAAGTTGCAAAAAAACGAGTCGTTTCGTCATTAAAATTTCTTGAAATTGTTTTAAAATTTTGTAACTGAATTGAATTATTATCGACCTCTAGGTAAAATTTTGATCACATTTATGTAACACGGATTATATTTTTCGTAAGTAAGCTAAACATTATGTTGCAAATTTCAGCAATTGATTTTTTATTTAAATTACAACAAGTTAGAAATTGTTATGATTCCTACCACAATTCACGCCGGCCATGAAGGCACACCCCAACGCGGTCATATCCCTGCAAACCGGACGAATTACTGGTTTTCCCGTCAAATCCGCGATAGTTTGGAGGACAAAATCATTATTCGCAACGCCACCGTCTACCCTAGTGAGACAAAAATATTTTTTTGCAAATGGCACATTAAAATTATTCTTGCCAAGTTTTTTGTCTTACTTAATGTGGTCAAATTCAATGTCGGACGCTTCTCTTTGCAAAATATTGAGCAACTGGGCCACCCTGAAGGCCAAACTTTCGAGTAGGGCCCTGGCCAAATGGGCCTTCGTCGTTGTGGGACTCATTCCGAAGAACCCTGATGTAGCCGTCATGTCGTTATAAGGCGCCTAAAAATTAAATGGACGTAGTTTTAAAAATTTCGCACGTATTGGTGAAAACTTGCAATTTTTAAAAAAACCTGAAGTCCGCTAAACGCCGGGATAAAATAAGCATCGTTCGTATCCTCCACCGATTCGGCAACTGTGCTCGACTCCGCGACGGAATTGTACAAGCCTAGAAACAAAACGAAAAATAAATTAATTTATGGGAATTTTGCCTTGGCTAAGCACGAGATTTATGATTTGAAAATAAACTGTATAAATTTTAATAAATTTCTTGTTTTAATTCTAAAAAACCGATCTAGGCAAATTTCATAATTCGAAGGAATCACCCAAGCAATTCACTCCATCATCTTTTAAACCCCAAAATTTGATAAAATTACTGAGCAAATTTGTATAAAACATGTAATTGTTACGATTTTTAAGCTGTTTTTCTCTGTATTTTCTGTTCCGTATTTTAAAATTGTTTCTAACATTTTTTGTAATTTGTAGTCATTTAAAAATCTAGAATGAGTTGTACCAATTTAATTTTAAACCCAATTCACGTAAATTTTTGTAATTCCGAAAATTTTGCAAAATAGTAATTATGTAAATTGTTTTACAAAGTGTAGTCTTCATTCAGTGAAAATAAATAAAAGACAAACTTTATAAGCATGGTTTTCATTCGTATATAAACTTTTTGCAGGTTTACGAACATCGACGTGAATAGCAATATTTTTAATTTCCCACTCACCAATTGTTCTCCCCCACTCGACCAGATTTCCGTTATCTTTACTCTGTCCTTCTGCAATGTAAGCGATTTCCGCGCCATATTTCCACCCAACGAGCGGATAAATTCCCCCCACGCCAGAGTGCGGCCGAGTACCCGTGTTCACGTCGAGAAACGCGCCCGTTCCCAAGGTCACTTTCACGGCCCCCTTTCCCCATCCCCCGACCCGAACATGGAGGCAGATTGGTCCGCAACTGAGGCCAAGATTGGAACTTCGAAACCAGGGAATATTCGACAATTTCCAAAATGCGGTCCTGCAAATGCATAAATTGCATTAATCGCAATTGAATTTATCTTAAGTTAAAAAATATACTAAAACAATTCTCTTAAATTAAGTCAGTTTTGAATTTATCAAGAAAGCTTTACTAATTTTACGTATTTTGTGCTAACATTCTGCAAAAAGATTTGACAATTTTGAAAATAAATTAAAATAAACCATCAATGTAAAAATAGATCTTAAAACAATTCTCGTAAATAGTTAATTTAATTTACTTTTGAATTTGAAGAAAAGCTTGTAGAATTTTGCAAGTCTTTTTAATATTCTTAAAAAAATTCTGGGAATTTGTGGAATAAATTATAAAAAGTCTTAAAAACGAGCAAACTAACCACAACTTGGGACCAACTTTGGCAGGATGGAGGACGGAATGCGATACATTTTCAGTGCCCACTCGGCATAGCTTAGAACGAAAGGATCGAAAAACCCGGATACGCACGCGTTGCTAAAATCAGTCACGTGTTTCTCTCCATCTGTTGAATTTTCAAAAATTCCAATTAACACCATATTTTGTATCAAAATTCGTAATTTTTGTTGCAACTTACTCGTTAACTTGTGAATTATAAAAGTGTCCAGGGTTCCGAACTTGACTTGATTAAGGGCGATTTTTTCGCGGATGCCGGGCACGTTTTCGAGCACCCAAAGCAGTCTGATAACGACGAGTTCATTCATCACGCGCAACACGGAACCCGACAAGTAACGCTTGTTTTTTGTAATCGAATAGAGGAATTTACACAGAAGTCGGAATGATCTTAAAAAAATACAAAAATTGTACGTAATTAAGTAAATTTTGCTCTTTATCAACTTAATGTTGCTCTGGATTTAATATACGTATGTAGTTTGCTTAATATGAAATTCAGTGTGCATTTATTTGTCAAAAGGGTAACATCATTTTTAAGAGTGCATATTTATCAAAGGGCTGACCTGATGTAAAGGCACGTGTTCCACCGTCGCACCAACTCTGTGGCGCGGAGGTCCTTCCAACTGATAATTTTGGTGATGGGCGTGTTATTATTGGCGTCCCAGAAAAGGAATGAGGATCTCTGCGTCGTGATCGACATGCATCTCAACTTTCCCGGCGAAATTCCAGCGTCTGTGGAACAAACAATTCGATGAATAACTTTACATAATAAACCTTGTACCTATATTCATTATACGCTCCTTTATGGGCCCGAGTGGCCAAAAAATAATTAATAAATTCAATTCAATTCAATAATAAACCTTGTATTTGTGTGCATGAATTTTTCATAAATTTAGTCAATGTATTTGTACAATTCGTTAATTTGAAATAAAACGCATGCTCTCCAACTCGTGTTAGAATCGTTGCAAAAACGCGAATTTTAGTACTACCAAATACACTACAGATCTTGAGTTTAATTCAGTGATAAGCAAATTTTAGTTCTAAAAATCTTTACAAAATTTATGGGAATTTTTTGTATATAGTTCGGTACAAATACATATGTAAATCTTTACCCTGTATAGCACCACGTAACACGTAGACGACATTATCCCACAAGGCGTCGGGGTCCATTTCCACCCATCTCGGTTTCGGATATTCAATTCGGATCTAAACCATGATCAAAAGGTACTGTGAAAATCATCTTTGAGGGAGGCAAAAATCACGCGGTACATATTACACTCGTCAGCTAATGTACGAATAAATTGGGTCGTAATTAATGATTATTTTGCATGCATAGTTTCTTGCTGTGCAGTGCATGAAATTGGTAAAATGTGCGAGTAATCAATGGGTGATGTAAATATAAAAAAAAGGATTCACGTGGAGAAATTTTTCCACCAATGTTCTAATGATTTGCAATAGTTACAAAATAAACTCACAAAGCATAATATTTAAAAATAAATAACTACATAAATATATACATGGATACATGTTATTGTAAACTTATGTAACGCAATTTCATAGCACTTCAATTGGAAAATATTTTCATGGTTTATGTTAGTCCTTGTCGAAGCTATTGATATGTAATCGTTGAAAAACTAATGTATAAATTTATCCATGTGAAGTTATTTTTGAATCACCCCGTACATATGCATAAGAGCATAAAATTGACAATTTTACTACCAATTACACCTTTCAGATATGTATGTACATAAGTACAATTCCCTGAATAATCACTACTTACCGGCGTCGCCTCCTGTCCCCTGACTCTTGCAGCCTTATCGAATATTAAACACTTCACCGTAGTCGTTCCCACATCGAGCGCCGCGATAAATTCCTCCTCCCCCAAAACAGCGCCACACCCACTCATCCTCAATCCCCCCTCCTCCACACACACGCTAAAACACCACCCCCACTAATTCCCCCTTAACTTCAAACTAAAACACTCCACTATCAATCCATCCCAAAGAATTTATTCCCAAATTTTATTAAAATTCCTTAAAAAAAGTAAGCCGTTTTGTTAAATAAATAAACAATTCTCCCAACTCGACCAGACCAGTCTCTGTCTGTCTGTTTCTCTCCCGAACTGAATATGTATGTATTCCCGTGGATACCCGGATATCCTACACAACCACTAAACTCAACACCCTTCCGGGAAAGTATCGATCCGTTTAGAGTAAATTTGCAGAATGAGAGAGAGAGAGACACACACACCGCGTGTATGCACATAAACTAAACTGCATGAAAAGTGGGCCACGTTATTGAGAAATAGAAATTCTCACGGCAATGATTTCCTCTCGCTCAGTGGGGAGGCAATACATTAAGAATATCACTAGTTTAAGGCGCCAAGACAACCTGTTAATTATGGGATTGAAAATAAAATAGTCACAATTAACTAAAAAGATGCTGGTCAAAATTCTGACCATCCTTTATGCACGGTCCCCTTAAACCAAACCACTGCTCACTTGATCGTGACGATATGTACATGCAAAACAATAAAAACAACACTGTTGATTCGCGTATTGTGCGTATTAAACTTACAGCGTTTTAATTGAACAGTTGCTTCATCCACTTCCACTACTAACCAGCCGCAGACCAGTGCAGTTCACTTTTTATTTATTACCGGGGGTGGTTCGCGTAGAATGTTGTCCAAATCCATTAACTCATAATTATGACGATAAGACCAACTTTGGGAATTACGATGGAAATTGGCGACAGAAATTCGGACAATATTTATACCACACTTTTTGTACAGACCCCTGCCTGGCTATTTTATCATGAAGGCGATAATAAAGCATGATTAGAAAGCTCATCCTTCACTCGAATTTTATTTATTCCACGGCTTCCACTTTATGTGCACAGTTACAAAACCATTGTGTCGCTACATTATCTGAACACGCTGCTCAAACACAATGGGCAGATGAGAAGAATCTGCGTGAAATTCGATACTCTATTTGTGTTTATTTTTACATAAGCACATTTTGTGACTGTGCATGCAATGTGTAGCCGATTTTTTTAGGTTAATTGATCGTAAAAAAATCGAGGATCATATCAATTCAATATTTTGACATGACATGAGGCACAAACAATCGAAAATTACCCAATTACACTATTAGAAATCTGGTCTATTTCGGTAGGTATTCATTCCTCGGTATTAAAGTTGCTGTATACCGCGGGGTATTAAATTTATTCTCGTCCTTCAAAATTTTATACCGAAATGGTAAATTGTAAAGACCGAGTTATTACTACTTGCACGGTATTACTTATCAATATCACTTTGGTAAAGTCATAAATATATGAATACAGGTTGGTATTATTTTAATGCAGAATTTATTAGAGTGTAGATTTCTAACAATGCACATGTCAGACATGTTTCTCACAGATCTTCCTCAAACTAGCACTAAAATATGCAGAAACTAAGCACAAACAACAATTGATATGATACTTGAGCACTTCTGCAGAATTCGCGAAGTTGCGAAGGTTTTAAGTTGGCAAAAACGCACATTTTCACCATGCGAAACTATATGGGGTTCACCACTCTGCTTCCCGATTTTCTCTTGCGCTTCTCTCCACCAGGTCATCAGTTTTCACCTCTCGATGCATAATTTAAGCAGCGGCTAACTTCTCAACCAAATTACCATTCGAATTATCATTTTTTTATTTTTAATCATTTTTAACCATTTTTGATTTTTGAAATGGATTCCATTAACTTCTTATCAGTGGCAAAATCATTTCAAACACTGGTTGAAAACAGTTTTGAGTGGGCAGATGAAAACTTAAGCAACTAATTCTTAACCAAATTATTATTTGTAGTTCTTTAACATTTCGTGTTTTTATTTGTATATTAAGATTCCTATGTGTGATAAGGGCCAACATCACACAAATTCATGTGATTTTTGTCATAAAAGTCTTTGAAACAATATGAGTTTTGACACCAGCTACATTTTATAAAAAATTCTTCACAAGCCTTCACAAGAAGGTAACACGCACTGTATACCAGAATATGTAAAGCAGACTGATTTTACATTAGCGAATGTTGGCTTATCATCCCCGATCCATAGCCCACTTGAATACCAACAATACTTTATCATCGGTATAAATGATGGTGCACTTAAAAGAAAGTGAGCAAGTGCGATCAACTTTAAAATTCCGTTTCGGCTAAATAGTTTAGCTTGAACTTCATTCTTGTGGCATAGCGCATTGTAGTGATAAAATTGTTTCGATAAGTATTTTAATTCTCGGTGAAAATAGGTGTCCAATGGCTGAGCAATATCAGTACAATTCTCTGGAACGAATTTCACTGTGAGTGCCGGCCATCCATCATCGGGATTAAATTTCGACTCATACATTTGAAGGTTTGTCTGTCCAGTCCAGTGGTCCAAAATGTATAGTACATCACCAATGATATTGGGTTGTATAATTTCGTCCAGAAATGTAGCAACTAAAGGCCTGCTTAATTTGCCGGACTTGCTAGCGGTGACAAACAGGTTTGGAGCAGAAAACAGTGTCTTCTTGACTACTGGTCCAATGGTGCCACTTGCCTCCTAGAGACAAGTTAGGGATTTTGAAACATTCGGTGTGAAAATTTAATTAGTTAAATTTACCTGTAAGCATACAAATACTTTTGGTAGAATTGTTCCTGCGTAGGTAATAGTATACTGTACTGTATACGAGTGGGTCACCTTATTCTTTGGGGATATCGCCGAAGCGAACGTTTACCTCTCGCCTTTCCAAGACAACGTCCTATTCGACACAATCTCGTATTTGAAACCAGTTTGGTCCGTGTTCCAAACTAACGTCGGGTCATGAACAGAAATTAGTGGTTGCATTTCATTCCTGAACTCTTCAGCCATGAGACCTATTTGTTCCATATCACGAATGGAAGACCTGTTCACTAGTTTTTGGATTCTTCTTGAAGAAATCCGGTTTCTACTTTTAAATCGAGCAATCCAACTATCTGACGCCTTGAATTTGAAACCTGGATATTCATTAGCCTTCGATACTGCCCAGCGCCGCAGATCCATACTGTGGACCGATCGGAATTCTTGGCGAGCCTCGCGAAAGAGTTGTAGGACATGATGCTCAATTTCCATATAAATATCGAAGTTTGTTCCGCCTTAAACAAAATATCCTAGGTAAATCAATTGAAAAAAGTTACGAAATAAAAAAACTCATCTCAAAGTTTACCCATGCGTATTTGACTTTTCCATCTTTGCAAATAATTACGATGTTTGACCTTCTTAAATTTGTTCTGGAATGTTAAGAATTTCCACGCCGGATTGCTTTCAAATGCATTTATGGCTCTTTTCTTGTATTCCATATCCACTTTGTCTCGTTTAATTGGCTCTCCTTCTTCATCCTCGTAGTCATTTAGCGCAGATATACTATGCACCCTTTAAATACGATTTCAGATTAACTTCAACTCTTGAAATTTGTTAACCCAAGCTTTACTACCTTCGAAATGTTCTTCCTCTTCAACAAAAATGTATTCGATGAGCAGCTCATCAAGCTTTTTTAGAAGAACTTCTGCAATTTGTTTTTCCTCCTCGGTTGGAACCTGATCTGCCCACTCAAAACTATTTTCAACCAGTGTTTGAAATGATTTTGCCACTGATAAGAAGTTAATGGAATCCATTTCAAAAATCAAAAATGGTTAAAAATGATTAAAAATAAAAAAATGATAATTCGAATGGTAATTTGGTTGAGAAGTTAGCCGCTGCTTAAATTATGCATCGAGAGGTGAAAACTGATGACCTGGTGGAGAGAAGCGCAAGAGAAAATCGGGAAGCGGAGTGGTGAACCCCATATAGTTTCGCATGGTGAAAATGTGCGTTTTTGCCAACTTAAAACCTTCGCAACTTCGCGAATTCTGCAGAAGTGCTCAAGCATCATATCAATTGTTGTTTGTGCTTAGTTTCTGGATATTTTAGTGCTAGTTTGAGGAAGATCTGTGAGAAACATGTCTGACATGTGCATTGTAAGTGTGTACGCAAAATACGTCACATCCGTCATGCATGGTCTTATTCGTATGGAAACTTTAACCGGTGGCAAATACAATTGATTATTAATTTGTAATCGAAGAATTGATAAGGTTTGATGGATTAATGAAGCCCAGACAAATGTATGTAAATAATTATGTAAACCGCACTTTGGATTGGGTATATTGTCCTCATGTATGTATTTATAACTTTAAAAATCGTATAATTTAAGTATGACGAAAGGAGGGAATTGGATACTTTGATATGTAAATGGACATACTTTGCATATCCGATGCACAAGCCATGCATGTATTTTTCGCCATTAAACCATAATTACCCTTACCTTAATACGAAATTGATTAATACATAGATGCATCCCCTTCAAAAAACTTTTCAGGCTTGGCAGGAGTGGGTACTTAATTACCAATCAAATTTAGCAAACTAATCTAAGAATCTCATAAATGACAAGTAATTAATGTATCTACAGTGTTACTTCATTACTTTTGTAAAAGCATGTATTTGTTATAATTACATAATTCAACTTTACACGCTTGCATCTGCAAATGCATTAAAAGAATGAGTAAATATTCATTATCTTATATTTGGTTATGTACAAATTAGTAGGTGGGTTATTTAGTGTATCGCAGATCCTCAATAATTAGCAAATAAATATATATGTACAAAATACAAAACATCGCAAAAAATCTGACCATTAATTTTCATCATTCAAGTACAAAATAAAACGACCTTCGTTGCAATATTAAAAATCAAAAAAATGAGGAAAAAAGTGCAAGAAAATTTTGGAAATCGTACATATCAATGTGAAACTATTACATATAATTAATTTCATAAATGTTTTTAAATAAGTATTATACTAATAATTCATGGATAATCATTAAATTGTTTCTTTAATTATAACCTCCCATTATTAATACTTTGTGCAAGTTATTTAGTCTTTCCAATTTTTTTACTCGAGGTGAGCATGCGTAGAAAATAAGATTGCTGCATTTGTTCCCTGGTTGTCCTCATTTTCTAAAGAATCAGATCTCGCATTAACTTGAAGTAATCCTTGGACCACATCGTCGCTCTTTCCGGTGGGAGAATCTTCTCGAATCAACGTCATAATTCTGGCCGGTCGAATACTTCGGAGTCGATGCTGCTCCAGAAATCGGACCACTTTTTCATACAGCAAGGACGGCTCAGTGATTCTTGGCACCTGGAAATTCCAAATTTTCATATAGGGGGTATTTCTAACAATATTTTACCTTAAAGAAATAACTGGACAAATAAATCACAATTACGATATTGTGTAATAATAACTTAATCGTGATGGATTTTAATAACACTTTGACAGGATTTAAGTAGCATTTGCACAAATTTTTGCAATAGTTTCGCAGTGTTTTTAGAAAATGTTAAATTTCTCTTAATACCTATTCTGTAACTGATGGAAATCACAGAAAAATTCGTCCATGTAAAGCATATATAAAAAATTAGCTAATTAACAACTGATCCTAACGCATGCGTGGGTCATCCATTTAATTTAATGAATTTAATGTTGCGTAAAACAAGCTATATATTTAATTTATGACACGCTTTATGAATGTAAACGTGTTAACTGAACGAATTAACTCACGGCATAATTCTGCGCCAAATAAATTCCCAAGTAAAGTCCGACCAGGAAAGAAATCTATAAAAAAAATAAGACAAGAATACATAATTTTGCCTCTGAACGTCCCCACTGTCCTCGCTCCCTTACGAGTGCACCTACGAGGAGATGTGTCGCGATGAAGATGACGAGCAACGTGTTGTACGCGTAGGTCAAAATATTCCACATCATGGCACAAACAATTTTATGGTGTGAAATTTCTTACAGAACTTTCAAAACTCTTCAACTTTTCAATTTTTAACCAAAATCCGATTTTTACTTTTACTTCTTAGTTGACACTCCGTTAAACGACTGAAGTTCAGTTTGACTCGGACAAGATCAGCATCTGGAGCCGGTTTTTAGCTATTTTTGGCACACTGACATCTTCCTTTATTACCTCCACGTTTGGAGGAAGACGAACACACGGCTCACTTTTTAATGATGCTGTGCACACAGAATGACAACATTTGAGCACACTGTGTAAAAAACATAACTTGCAGATTTTTTTCAAATTTTTGAACAAAGGATGGTAGCTGAATAAAATAAATATATGAACAAATCTATCAATGATCTGCCACATCCTTCCTGCACGGTCCCCATACACACACTTTTTTCCCGTAAAAATAAAAATCTCATTCCTGCACAATTACAGTTCTCGCATATGTCTCGATTTTTAGAATTTCTGTCTAATTTATGATGTTTATTTGTCTCATTGTACCCCCTTCGCCTACACGTCCACCTTCTCTGGGTTGTCAGATTGCATCCCAAATATCATCAAAGATACAGCCAGATCCATCAATCCGAACCAGATGAGACGCATGAAATCCATGTCACGCCAAGAATACGCTCTCACTAAGGTGACCCCGTTCGACACGGCAGCGATAAGCAGAAAGGCTACGTTTTTCGTAAAATATTGTCTTCGGCTTTTTCCCAAAAGGCCAGATTCATAGTCAGAATCCTGATAGAATTGAAAGTCAAGGAAAAAAAAGTTGAATAGAATTCAAAAAAACGTATGCATTTATAACACTCCGAACTGAAAATCAAAGTTTATTTCACAAAGAATTACCAGATTACAGAGCAGAATTTAATATTGTCGTTGAAAACTTGCATTGGTTTTTGTCACAATTTAAAAATATTAGGTTCAAAATTGTATTTTATAACATTTCTTTAATACAAAATTTTGAAATTTTGATTCACCTGCATTTGAATTCGCCTCGTCCACCACAGAAGATAGCACAACCTGGCACAACAAACCCCCAGAAGGAGGCACGCTATACTGGACACAATACAAGAAACGGACCACGCCAGCAATACGTTTAGCAACATTTTGGTCAAAATTTTATCACTCAACGCAAACTTCGCATCAGTTGAGGATATGCACATTTACAGCAAAATGAAAAAGATTGTATGTAGGGGGGGCATGTACATAAAGTACGTCAGATAGGTAAATATGGACCATATTGTACTTACCTGTTCAACATGTCGCTTTGGAGGATCACGTGTAAAAATCAATAAGAGGAAATTATCACACCCATCTTGCACCGTCCATACAAAAAGTTGTATTTAGTGTCCACTCTATTTTTAGGTGTCTCTCTCGTGAATCCGAGTGCGACAAGAAGCAAATCTCTAAATGCATGCACACATGTATGTAGATAATTATGTGTGGAATACAAGTGATATATTTTAAGAAAATTTAAACACATGCATGTACATACTTAATTACATGTTTAATCTATATATACTTATATTAACTTATTTTCATAAGTGAAATATTTTAAGATAATTTAAACAAATGCATTTGTGCATATTTATTTACATATATTCATTTACATATTTGTTCACACATTACAGATGGCAATTGACGGAGTAAGAATATCTCTAGTATCACTTAAAATAAATAAATTTATTAAATTTAGTTTGCATACATCAACGTAAATTTGCCATTCTCGTTGCAAAAATTTAATCAAAATTAGTAACTAATATTTCAAATTAAGTCACAAATTTTTTGACCTCCTTGCTCCCAATATTATTTATGTTGACATGTTTTACATATTGTTTAGTTTGTTTCTCAAATATTTCATTTCACGTAAATAAATTTGTATTCAAAAAAATTTGAAAAAAGCCGATTAAAATAGGATTTTTCCAATCATAACTCCTGCCACGCCAGCGGCCACGGGGGCGGCGTACTTCATCATTTTCTTCTTCTTTCTCGCCTTTTTCTGGGCAAAGTGTAAAGAATTGCAATGAATTTGTACCCTTAAACGTAAAAATGGATAATTTACTTACATCCAAGTACGCATTGTCTACTGGAGCATAGTAACCTGAAACGGCGGGAGTAGCTCCCCCCTGATACCCGGGTGCTTGATTGTACCCGCTATAACTGGTGGACTGGTTATATTTCGGTTTCGATTGGCAAACACCATACTTCATTTTTTGGCAAGCCTCATATTTTCCTTTTTTGCAGTAGCATGGATTCTGTAAATATTTATGAAGATTCCATTAAAAATTTGATTACAGCAAGTCTAAAATTTTAAGGGGATTTGATTAATTAAAATTATGGATTCTGCTCACTAAATTATAAAAATAATTTTTCATTAGAGGGATTCATTTGGTATTTATGGGGTAACAATTGAATTATCTGAGGGCAAATATCAATGGGGTTTATTGCCACAATTTGGAGGACAAAAAATATCATTTTAAGTGGTGGTTAATTTAATTTCTATTATTATTCGTCTTCATAAAAATATTAGTTTTTTGAACAGAAAAAGCTTGTACATTTAAGCAATTCAAACCTATTAAACATTAAATTAAACAAGTGAAATGGTTTTTCGAGTAGCAAATTTGCAATGCGGACCGTATTCTATTGTTCATAATTCACGATACTCCTCCAAAAATCTCACACATTTTGATCTCACAAATCTCAGAAATCCGTGGCAGATTTTGGAAATTTTGATGACTAATTTTGAAATATATATCTTACTGTTGGCGTCGATGCCCCGAATTGTTGTTGTCCTTGGTATGGAGTTGGTCCATACTGTTGGTGCGGCGGGTTAGCGCCGTACATTGTATAATTGTCAGTCGGAAAGGGATATGGGTTCGTTGCCGGGTAATATGACGGACTTGTCGGGTATGGCGTATAAGGTGGCGGGGGTTGTTGAGGATATCCAACATTTTCAAACCCGATGGACCCTTGTGGCGGAGGTACACCATTGTTGTAGGTCATTTGTCCCTGTTGGGGGATCCCGTTATACGCGTTCTAAATTTCGAGTACAATTTGCAGTTTTTACATACATAAATATAAGTTCTTATCGTAAGAAGCATCTTTATTAGAATGACACCTACATATTTACATACATATGTATATGAGTTTAATACGTGTATACATGAGTTAAATCGTACATACGTACATAGGTAAATATTTCGCATAGTAATTCATTTCTATAATACGTTTGCGAATTAAAAATTTTTCTCCTAAACATGTGAGCAAATCTCTGTCAATAAGGCTTAATTCGTCATACATACACATTTACACATGTATGTAAGTATGCCGAATAAATTACAAATAAATAATTCTTTGTTTGAATTATGCAATTTCCGCAATAATCGATGAGTGCTGAAATGCGTAAATCTAAAAAATAATTTTACAAGCTTTTCCAAAATAAAAAGACGAAGTTCCGTCGTCATCGGCTGGCAAAGTTTAAAAAAATAAGCCAGTTCTCAGTAGAAATATTTGAAATTTTTTGTAAAAGTTTATAAGTTTATGAAATTTTACTAATTTTATATACATTGAGGGTATTCATTATTTCTTCGTATCTGTAGTATCGTAAAATAGTTTACGAAGAAAAAACAAGGGGTCAGGTTTAGTAAAAATCGTAAGCGTAGTAACGTGATTTTCGATGAGAAAATCTTACGACGCTTACAAAATCTCGTAAGCGTCGTAAGTATTTTACGATACGAAGAATACTAAGGATACGAAGAAATAATGAATACCCTCATTGTTACCACGAACTGCGTTAATTGCCTCAATGCGAGTTAGTTTTTTTAGATTAAAAGATTACTTACGTTATTCGGATACATTCCTGGTTTTGCAAGATTAATATTAATTCTTTATTTGAATTCCGTAGTCTGCAAGTAGATTTTATGTAGGTACAAATTTATCCCGCAATACAAAATTCAGCTTTTTTACGTTAAAGTGAATTGGATTATGAAATATTTTATTTAGTTAAATAATACTGTAAAAATTTAATAAATATAGTGCTCTACCCAGCCTACGTATATGCACAAACGTATTTTTGCACTTTGCGCACTTGCATAATACGCAGTATAATTGATTCACTCTTAAAAATAAAGTTACCTTTTTGAAAAGTAAATGCACTCTGAATTCTAAATTAGGTAAAAGATTCTATACAAATCCAGAGTACCGTAGACACTCTATTTTATAGCCGGGTCTAAAGACAGCACAGATCCGGGTACAATTACAAACCTGGTATAATTGGAGACCCAGGTAATTTTTTTTGGGTTATTCATAGCTTGAAGTATGTAAGAAGCGACATTATATGAATACCATAATTAGAAACAAGCTTCATATGCTTCAGACCCAGCTATGTTTGAATATAGTATTTTTACGGCAATCTACATATTTAGATGACCTTGAGACGGACATTGTTCTTTGACATATGTCCGTTGTCAGTTTAACGATACTGTGGATTTACATAGTATCGTTAATTTAATTTAGAATTAAGAGTGCATTTACTTTTCATAAGGGTAACATAATTTTTAAGTGCGTAAGTAAATATGTACATACGACGAACGTATTCGTGTATGTACGTGGGTGTTTTATTATTGATTTTCAAAAGGTATGTTCCGCACTGTTTCTGACCAAAATTTTGATGAAATAACAAACTTGAAATACATTCAGGAAGTCGTGATTTTTTTCAGCTCAATCGGTTAAAAGGAACACCCGCAATAAATCATCCAAATTTACCTCGAAAATATGCAAAAATTTACGACTTGATTCCATTATCATCCCAAAATCGTTTCCCCTTCATGCTTTTATTCAACGTTTGAAACGGATAATAATCACTAAGGGTCAAGGCTGGACTGTACGGGGGGTGGTTTATGACGGTGAAGCGTTTTTCGTCTGCAGCAGCCCTCGAAACCAGCGAGGTATTTGTTGGCGCGTTGTCGTCTAAAAAAAGGCCAACTATTTATTTTGACCTCACGTTTCTCTTCAACCGCAGCACGCAGCTCGGTCGGGGTTCCTGCATTCCAGCAAGAAATTATGTAAGAAGGGGACCTTTTGTATCATTGTAAATAGTCATAATCAATTTTTTGGCAGATTTTTACGCTTTTGCTTTCATGGGCGGTGGCAACCCCCCGTGCTCCCATTGCATGAAGTATTGTTTAGTCTGCAGGTCATAATAGTAAACCCAAGTATCATATGCAACTACTAAAATATGAAGCAGGTTCCAGTTTTCATTTAATAGGTTAAAATTGGCATTGCAAAGGTCAACTCGATCTTGTTGTTGAGATGCCGAAAGCAATTTTGGTACCCAACGGGCGGAAGCCATTTTCATACCTAAGTCTTCAGTTAACGTGGAACAAATTGTTGGTTTTGGAACACCCATCTTATCTGCTAAATAGGACAGTTTCAATCGTGGATCTCTAATTATTGGTTCCTCTAGTTTCTGGAGCCTTTTTGTGGAAGAAACTGATTTTGGGCGTCCTGGCGACTTTTTGTCCGAGACCACTTTTCGCCATCATTTGAAGTTACTGATCCAAATTATATTGTGCTTTGTGTTGGGCAGTTTTCATCGTAAACTTTAAGCATGCGATCATAAATCTGCGACACCGATTGCCCTTCCAGCGTTAAAAGTTAAATCACACTACGATATTTAATTTGCAAATCTGACATTTTTTCCGTCGAGGTAAAGTTTGCTGATTTATTGCTAGTGGTGATGTTAACCTAAAGAGCTGAAAAAAATCACAGCATCCTAAATGTATCTGAAGTTTGTTATTTCATTAAAATTTTGGTCAGAAACAATGCGGAACATACGTTTTGAAAATCAATAGTAAAACACCTACGTATGAGTAACCGTTTCTACATGCATACATTATTCATATTTCTTAGCACTGACACCGCTTATGTATTTGCTTGTCACATTATCTAATGTTTAACGAGATTAGATAATTTATGATGGTCGTGCTTTGTGTTTAACTACCTTGGGCTTCTCACTCTTGGATGAATACATATTTAGGAATAATATTTTACCAAGTTCCAGTGGAATCAAGTGCAGTTGATGAATATTTCTCCAGATTTTCTACACTCTTAAAAATAATGTTATCCTTTAGAAAATTAAATGCGCTATGAATGGTAATTAGATATGTAAATTTTACATACAACATCCAGAGTAAATTTATTCTTTATCTATGTCTCAAGTGTATGTACGGTGCTCTGGATTTTTGTGGTATAGTTTAGGGAAGGCCAATAGATTACATATGTCTGCGAGACGACAGGTGGGAGGGAGGTCCAAGGCTCCAATTATTTAACTCCTAAATAATTGACACATATTAATGGGGAAGGGGGGAGGGGGGTCTAGAAAATCGAGATTTTTGGATAATTTATGGACAGGCCCTAGATAGTTTAGAATTGAAAGTGTATTTAATTAGGTGTACCGATTCATTTCGATTTTTGGGTAACGTTCATGAAACATGCGGGTTTTTGATAGTTGTATAATTTTTTAAAGACCTATTTTAAACCGTACATATATCTCGAGATTTCAGTAATATTTTTGTGAGTGTTTTGTCCAGCGTTCATGAATGTGTTTTTCGCATTAGGTATATTAAAGCGTATATTATAGCGTAGCTTTGTATGTTACGGTGAGAGATGATATCATTCTAATCGATTGGGTACATATATGCAACCACGTGACACCTGAAAACTAATGCGTTGTAATTTCATTCTACCAAATTTAATCAGAAGAGAGTTGAGATCATTTTTAATTAAATAAGTATTTAAATCTCTCAGGTGTGACTAACAACGTAGGTCTTTTAAGTGTAAAACTCAGATCTCCGTGGGACCATTTTTTTCACCACAAAAAATAAGCATCCCCGTAATTTTTGCATTTTTAATAATGCACCAATATGAGCGCGAGGCGTGAATTTTAAACTATTTTCTAGCCAAAACCTCGGTTCTCGGATTTAAAATTTTTGTAAATTCTCGAAGGTCCAAAAATTCGAAAGCATATATCTTCAGAATGACTGAGTTGATTTATTAAAAATATATACGTAATTGTTTTCGAAAATTTAAAACTTTGAAAGAGTTAGTAATTTTAATGAATTTAAAAAAACCGGAAAGAAATTCTGAAATCTAAGTTTCGAGACAATTGGATTTTTTAGAAGTCATTCTGGTGAAGCATGTTTACGCAAATATGGGTATGCTTACATACATATTTTTTGTGGTGAACAAAATAAAATTGGTCCCATGGAAATATGAGTTTTACACGTAAAAGACCTGCATTGTAAGTCATTTACATATGCGTGTCGTGTAAAGTCGATCGTTTTCTCTTTTCATGCTAATTCTATATCATAACTGTGTTTGCACCGAAGACACAACGTATCATGAAGTAAGTTAGTACATAGTGACGGCACTTACATATGTAGAATGTTCATGTAATAAACGTTTAATTAGCAGGTGACGCAAATATTTATGTAATCACGAGTATTAATTGTGTAATCTGGACCATGTTGAGGTACATATTTCCTGTGCATGAACAAAGCAAAATGAAATCCTTTCACTGGAAAATATGTATAACTAAGCACTGCAGTGGCGCCGGAAGGGGGGGACATTGCCCCCATTCTGCAAACTTATGTATTACTTCCGCATGTTAATAAACATAGTCACCTCCTCCTCCAATCTCGCAACGCTAATGTCCCCCTTCATCCGCCGCCACTGACCACGCGATATGAGCATTAACGAACGAATCAATTTAATCAATAACATCCACCGTCATCGACAAATGAATGCCAGAAATAACACGATCATCAATCATATTAATACCGTTGACATTGACATATTTACAAAACAGTTGCCCAGTAGCAGACAAACTGGGGCTTGAGCTTGAGCAAAACCGCTAAATCAATAAATCCTAGAAAATGAGTCATATCACGGAGATTCGGAACGTTCGAAAAATTATACTTATTTTGACCAACGACATCTGTCTTGTTCAGAGCTGGAAGGAATTTTGTGATCTACTAGAAATCCAACCGACCGATGTTCTAGAATTGACCAACAGCTTCAAGTCCACTGCGATGACGTATTATGACCTCTTCAGCAAAATTTTGCATCTCTGGGCGTCAAGAAAAGGAGAAAAGGCGACTGTGCAAATGCTGATAGAAATATTGAAAATTGGAAACTTTGTGTCTGTTTCTGGTAAGAAGTTAGGGACTGTTCTGAAATTATGTAACGCACAGGGGGTAAGGAGGGGGGGGGTGTGGTTTATGGCTCAAATGATACCATGCTATGTGATATGGGGAAAGGGGTCTAGAAAATCGCCATTTTTGCGTCGCATAATTTATGAACGTCCCCTTAAGGATTATCTAATTTTTTCTACACTTTATGATAATGACTTGTACCCTTTTGTAGAACAACTTGACAGACTTGTGAATGAAGATACTTTGACAAGACAAGAAACCACTAGAAAATTCCACATGCGTCATTTTGGAGTTAAAAAATGCATTAGTAATTTTGTTGGAAGAAAATCCGAACTTAAGACCTTAACAGGATTCGTAGAAAGCGATGACTTTCTTCTAACGGTAACAGGCATGAGTGGCGTCGGAAAATCAACACTTGTCTTGAAGTTTGTCAACGATTTATTAACCGCCACTGAGACTGATGACGCGCAAGTCAGGGTCATTTGGTTCCAATGTGATGACAAATCAACCCTAAAGAAAGCCATTCAAAAACTTGCAGAAAATATCAGAATCCCAAAATTTCCATCACATGACAAACTTTTGCAAAAATGTATTAAATCCATCCAATACGGGAGTACTGCCAAAACACTTTTTGTCTTTGACAATGTCGATCATATCCATTCGAATTTGATTCGGATTTTGCAATTCTTACATTCCATTTCGTCAACTTCACCGTCAGATGTGAAGGCTGTCCCTATCCTGTCAATCGTGACGTCAACACTGCTACCAATGACGAAATATGCTGGGACATCCGTTGCCCTTGATCTGCTCGATGAACAGGAAGCGACCCAGTTTCTCAAAAGCAATTTACCCATGGAATTAATGGAAGATCCTTTGGACCTCCAAGATTTGGCCGCTTTAGTGCAATACCTTCCACGGAAATTACAACAAGCCGTTGACTACATTAAGCAAAAAAATTTGAGTGGAATCAAATCATATGGAATAAAGGATTACATTCGTGACTTGGAAGGTGGGTCCGCAAAAAAAAGACAGAAATTACTGGACCATCCGCTATCCCCGATTGAACGGAGTGAGAGCGATCGAACGACGACATTTAAGTCTTGGAGGCAAAGCATTAGACTCCTTTATAGTCTAGGGATGGAGGGGCAATGGGCTGTTAAATTGCACAAACTTTTGTCACACCTAGATTCAGAACGAACTTCAATGCCAGCTTTAAAGAAAATTATCAACTGTGCAACATTTTTTTTGATACAAGGTAACCAAACTGGTTTATTTATTTGTGGAACTTTGGCAATAAATAAGAATTTTATTCATGTTAAAGAACCCAAAAAAGTCAAGTTGACTCCAAATGCGGACGATCGGCTCGATAAGGCCCTCAAACTTCTAAGGGATCATCACTTAATACGTATTGATGTCACCAAACAAATTCTATCCGTACATCGGATGGTGAGGGAAGTGACGCGGATCCAAATTAGTCTCAAACCATCCGAGAAGTTATACCAAGTTTTAAGAAACATTTTATCCGAAGTTTTGGAGCACGTTATGTTCAATCACTTGAAGAATGATGAAAATAACAACTATGCTTGGGATGATGAGGTAGGCCTCATTTTAGCTGACGTTTGGAAACAGGCCCTCCACTTCCCTGATCTTGTGGAGAAATATGCGCTCATCGGTGTCCATTGCACAGCACAGACCAGTTGTTCCATTCAGCTTTTTTCCACAACCATTGAAGAAATGACATTAATATTCCCAGAAACTAATCTACTCCTTCTGAGAGCAAAAATTAATTACTTTTCCAGAGTTTTCAGCAGTAATGATGAGTCTGACACAGTGCAAGATTTCTCACTTTTGCAATCCTTAGTAGCACATGCGGCCGTCTTCTTGGGGGGAATGCATTCTGAAGTCGTAAGAGGTCGATCGTTGCTTGAAGAAGCAGCGAGATCCAGCTCACGGCTTTCACAATATATACAGATCGCAGAAGAGTCATTATTAGCAGAAGATTCAATATCCTGGCCTCATTTCATCGATTGCAATAAAATAACTAAATTGCTGAACCTTGGCAATGCATACGAACTTATGCAGAAATACGATATTGCAATTGACTACTACTTGACGGCCTACGTTTGGACCAAGGTAAGGGAGGATGCACTTAACGAAGATGTGACAAAAATTTCTGAAAGGATACGACATTGCTGTGATCAATTAGGGATATGTGTTGCAAAATATTTCAACTTTGATGACACCCCGAGTTGGGACGAGCTAAGTTGTCTTCAAGACCGTTTTGTAGAGACACAAAATCAAACGTGTGGCATTTCTGAAGTAGAAGAGCCCCCTCTTAGCGAACCAGATGAGGTCAGAAGAGTTAGGTCGGGACACATTTGCCACAGATTTACGAAAAATCTGAAGCATTTTGACGCTTCGAAGATTCGTCAAATTATTCAAGCCATGAAATTGGATATGCTGCCGCATCGTTAAGAAATACAGAGCATGGGCCATCCTTCTAGAGAAATTTTCAACAATTTTTCTAACCTACATATGAATTTTTCTTGCATAATTAACTTGCTCCAAGTGATGCCCCTTGTTCTGAACTACAAGCCTGCAACGCTTGTTCCTTCATGAAAACACTTCATGACACTTTTGAAGGCTTATTTTAACGTCTTGTCCTTGAAACTTTTCCAAAGTCCATCTAGCATCGTAGCTAATTTCTTTCTTTTCTCCACGACGCACAGCAAATTGACCTTCTCCCGTTACAGTCATATACCTTGAACAAAGCTTCGTCGATTGTGATCGCAGATTCGTCCTTAATTCCAACAAGGTGTTTCTCATACAGCTTTTTCTGGAAAAAAGTGACAATTAGCGATGTGACGCTGGTTCAACGCATGCAGTTTTGTTTTCTTCTGTTTGATTTTGTCCAAATCTCATCTAGTGACTTATTGAATACTAGTGTGATTCGATTTTAGTCGTTTCACCATATTGAAAAAGCTCTTTGGGATTTCCTGGTTGATCAAACGGTTGAGTTTTGTTTGTAGCCTTTGGTCCGTTCTGCAAGGGGGCAGTTTTTAGAGGGAGGAGGCAGTCCCTGATTAATGGCTTGTCTTCTAACACCTTGTACATTTACTATTCTATAAATTGAGGCCAAAGAAATTTCATGTCCACGTGCATTAGCCCTTTTTTATCACACTTTCGGTCAAATTCTGGCTGGAAAACTATTTTACTAGTACCTCCACTTGAAATGGTCAGGGGCGATCCATTTTTCAGAATTTCGAGTAGAAAAAAATCAGTGCCTTACCTAATTGGTTTGTCTACCAAACAGTTTATACCGGGTTTGCATAAGTTGTGCCAGTTTTTTCGCGCGAGCGTTTGAAAATTTCTCTAGAAGGATGGCCCATCCTCTGTATAATCCATCACTTGTAGGCTACAAGTTGTAGTTTTGAAAAACGGTGAGACGTCAAAATGAGCCAGTCACATTGACCTCCGACAAATTGACCCAAGTCATATTGACCCCATGCTATACAAACAAGGAGGGTTAAACTAAATGAGCCTATTTACGCCTGCCACACCTCCCAAAGACGCCAAAACCCCCAGAGTTGTTCCACTAAAATCATCAGATTTGGATTATTTACATTTTTGTGATCCCAGATAGTTGCTCTATCATATCCAATAGTAATCTCAATATTTTGAAGATTTTCTGACCAATGTATTGAAAAAATTTGAAATTTCAAAAAAGTTGAGATTACTATTGGATATGATAGAGCAACTATCTCATGGAGTTTAACCCTCCTTGGTTATATGTAAACTAGCGTATAAGCCCGTCTCCCGCCGGGCGAGCGAGAATTATAAACTGCAAACGTCTGTCGGAAACCGAAATGAAAGCAAAGAAAGTCAAGTTTAGACTGGCGCGTATTAAATGTCTAATGGTAGTTATCTGGGGCTGGTTGTAGCCTTGACTTCAATTTCAATTGAACTTTACTTTAAACTAAAGTGGCGAATCCTGCATACCCATGACTGACTTCCACTTCTATTTAACTTTAAACTAAAGTGGCCATGATAACCACCATCAGATCACCACCCATGATAATCACCCCTAGATAACCACCCATGATAACCACCCCCAAATAATTCATTGGTAAAGTGTGCACTGGGAGCACTGCAATTTGTGTCTTGTCAATACTTCCAAAAAGTGTGAAGTGAAAACTGTTCACTTCACACTTTTGTCTCGCGTCACCAGTTACACAAAAGTGGTGATCTGGGGGTGGTTGTCATGCAGTGGTTATCTGGGGTGTATCTGTCGGACAGTAGCTATCTGGGGTGGTTGTCAGAAGGTGCCCATCTGGAATTTATTTTTTTTTAGAATTACTTTCACCTCCGTTGCCAAGAGACATTTCCAGCTTATAATATAGATATAGCATGGAGTCAATATGACTTAGGTCAACATGGTGTTGGGTCAATCTGTCGCTGGGTCAATATGAGCGGGTGAATTTGTCGTGGGTCAATGTGACTGGGTCAATTTGACATGAAATCTGAAAAACAAGAGTTGCCTTTGCAGTGAAAAAGGCAATCGAATATAATCAACGCCCTTAATGTTTTCAATACTTATAGTATAGTTATTCCAATTTAGGCATGATATGTAATGGGGTGTAGTCAAAATAAGTTAGAATTGCCAAATAGAATTTTATAAGATGTTTGGACGATCTTTTCAGTTTTTTTGTATTGTTGTAGATATTTAAAATCAAGTTATTTAATGACCACTTTGTATTTGCAGCAATAATAAAGAAATTAAATATTTATTTATGTGACCTTTACAAAAGTCCACAGAAGCAAGATGTCTATTTTACATATGCATTCAGTTTTTCCTGGAAATTATATATTAAGCGTGTTGAAATTTTGCAATTCAATTTGATCTCCATTACCTCCTCTGTGAATAAGAAAAGGTTGTAACGAAGGTCGAATTTAGATCAGAAATATGTCTGACGCTTGAGCTGAAATGACAGTCGTATGGATTGTCCGGTGAAAGATAGTGTCAAGGTTCCCCTTATTTTTTCAATCACTTAAAAACTAATTTTGGATAAGTAACAGAGCACCAAAATTAGAAAATTTGATAAGCTTTCTAAAACTGAAAACAGAATTTGATTATCTCTTGTGGTTAAAAAATGACAGCACAAAATTTGGAGGAAGTGGAAAAATTAGTCTGCCACTCGTGCGAAAAAGCGATTTTTACGGATCGGAAAAAGGCTCGTGACCACCTTATCCGTCAAGGGATGCACCCGGCAAAATTCACCACACACTATACGTATCTAAGGATCGTGAAAATGCAAAATATAAAATTTGGCCTTGTCGACCTGTCCGCCAGAGGACCAAAATACTGACGAGAAACGTGAAAAAGTTTTTCTCAAAAAATTCCAACAGATCCATGAGGGTGGCGCCCAGACATCTAAAAATTTCAAAAACCTAACGCCCCAAAATCAAGGCCAATAAGATGGGCTTCAAAACTTGCAACACTAAAACCGCGCCAAAATACAACGAAGATAAAAAAGACGCAGCCAAAACAATTTTTGGAAAACTTGTTGAGAAAATGTTAAAATAGACTCCCAGAAGTTTCTCCTCGTGGATGATGAAAACTACTGCTCCGTTGACCTCGAATCGTCAATCCTGTAAAGTTCTACTCATGTAGAAGTAAAAATGTCGTTTGTTCGAAATATAAATTCAAAACCAAGCAAAATTTCCAATGAAGTACATAAGATCGCCGGAGATCGACAAAAATAGGAACGTCTCAAATCCATTCGCTTCCACCAAGATTATGAACTTTGAACTTTATTTAAAACAGTGTGTCATCAAGAGATTGACCCCCTGTATCAAAAACAAACGTGTTTTGTTTTTGCTGGACATGGCTACGTGCCATAGCACCAAAATAGTGACAGAATATTTTCGAGGAAAAAAAGTTGATTTCGACGATAACAAAGACAATACCCCAAAAGTACCGCAGTGTCGATCCAGTGAAAGATTTTGGGCATAAATGGAGAAATAATACTCTCATAAAAAAGACCACCAAAAAATTTCAAAAAATTTCGGCGGGTTATGGAGAAATTCGTCATATGCGTAAGTAAAACGAGTGGCAAAGCGCTCGTGAGGGGTCCTCGACAAAGTTGTCTCTCCACCGGTACGGAAGGGGTATCTGAACCACTGAAGGGTTGAAAACCTTTGGTATATTCATCGTTCGCATTCCACCAAAGTTTCGTTAGATTTGATTCATGCATTCATTTTGTGTACGTTAAAATAGCTTGACACTTAACTTCACCGGACAGTCCATAATTCTTTTCACCTTTATTGCTGCGATCGGTAATAAGTAATTAAATATTTTGTTTTACAGGATTTAAAACGTGTTTTAAATAAAACTTGACGAATTTCAGTTGTACTAATTTATTTTACGTAGTCGGATCAACTGCGGAACCATTAGACAAGTATGAACAGCATTTATGTTAGTAAAGATACCAGATTTCCTGCGAAACTATTTCTCGCTCTTGTCCAGCATTTTGGTGAGGTTGCAGTGACATTAGATTTTCACTTTTTCTGTGCTTACTGTCGTAGTGATAGGGTTTTGCAGTTACCCAAGAAGTATGACCCACCCTCAATTACTCCTTCAAGTTTTCAGTCGCTCTTCGTAAAGCTCAGGATCGCTGCTGTTCTGCCATATATGAGCCTCGCCGAATACAAAACGTGCGATCAACATGATTGGCTCTGGAAATTGTACTATTGCAATGAGGAATTTAACACTGCAATGCATCAGGGACGCAAGAAACTTTACTGTTTCTTTTGAAACAAGTATGGCTACCGGTCGAAATAGTAGTTTCGGTTATATATTCATTGCTGGCCAAGTCGATGGACAGTATGATATAGTAAATTGGATGGAGTTATCCCAGTTTATAGGTTTTGCAATATTCTATTGTAACTTTGATAAAATTGGGGAGAATACGGATCTTGCAACATGGCTTAAGCCTTTCCAAGGATTAATTTGGCTTGTACTAATTTTCCCTGCAGTCTTATCTTTCACTATTTTTGCTGCTTTTAGGCAAAGACAGAATCCAATTTATAGAGATCCTTTAAGGTTTCTGGGGTGCTTCTTCCTCGTATTTAAGGAGCCCGTGAAAAGAAGTCCACTTTCGCTAAATGTCATGTTCATAGTTTCCCTACAAATTTTGGCTTCTCATTACGAATATTTTTTTACTGCTAGGCTAATAATTCCCCCGCATTTCAAGGAATTGTCAACTTTAAAAGAATTTATTGACGAAGGATTTGTCTTGCTTTATGAAGAGGACGTCGATTATGGCGTGGTTCGGGAAGAGTATCTTATCCTAGAAGATTTAAAGATTCAAGGGATTCCCTCAGAAATCTTCAATAACTCTTTTCAACCAGTAAGACAAGTAGGAACTATTAATGATTTGTTAAAATTTATATCCCCAGATTTGGAGCACAGGAAAAATGTATACTATGGCAGCGTAAATTATCAAGAAATGTTTCGAATCGGTATGGAAACAAATTATAACAACTTGTATAAATGCTACATTGCAAAGAACGTTAACCAAGTTAGACCCGTATATTTTCAAATTCAGACCATTCTGCGCGAAAAGTCTTTGAGCGTAAAAATATGGTTGAGTTTGGGTTGCACAATGTCTGGATAAAGTGGTTTGAGCAGACGGGGAAACACAAGATACTGTTAGGGCAAAACACTACGGGGCCAGAGCGAAATTTTATTACGTTTAATAATCTTTCTAAATTCTTCCTCCTTTATTTTTCAGTCCTGGGTAGTTTTCTATTTGTATTTGTTGTTGACAAAATTAGAAAGAGTTTTTCAGTCAATTGCATTTCACTAGAGCTGAGGTGTGAATTTCTGGCGTTAAAATCTCATTCCCATTTACTTAGCATTGAAACCTGGCTGAAGTTAAGTTTTAACGTGAAATCGCTCATAGTGAGACCGAATTTGAGACCGAAAAGTAGTGTCCATCTGAATTTAACAATGTGCAAGGTGAGTAGAACTTTGAGGTCCATCGGGTTCTATTTAGTGCGCATAATTAAAAATGTTAAAATTAAATTCGTTATTAGTAATTATAAGTAAGATAACATTTCTGTAAGTGAATCTGTATGTCATACATATTCACTTAAATACGTATTATGTATTTATAGTCGAAAGTAGTACAATATCGAGCTTTAATTTTTTAGGATTACCAAGTTCTGGAGTTTTATTGTCATGTTTTAAATAAAATCGACCTATGTAACATGATTCTTCATTAGCTTATTTACTACGAATAATGGTGCCACATTATGCCGATTTAAGGTAGGACGATTTAGGTATTAAATAAAACTTGTCATCTTTGAATAACTATCACATTATTTTCAATTTCTGTATGCATTAATTAATATTAGTTTGGTCATTATTTATGAACTACTTATAAGAGATTTAAGCATCACAAGTATGTGTGTATGACAGCCGCGTATCTATGTAATGCAATATACAAATCTTAGCGAACGCAATTTTTTGTGTCCCTCGGACTCTCTTGTTTCTCAAATGCGTTTTATTAGACATACATAAATATGCAATAAATTGTTGCATTGCGAACGAAATATAGCAAAGGGGTGAAAAGACACGGTCATACTGTCATCAGCACCATGTCGATTGTTGAAATCCCAGTCCAAAACTACCTTTTAACATTATGGATTTATCGAGACGATAGTTGGCTCTTACAGACTTTTAAGTGTACCATTAGTATGTGGCTTCATCTATTTACATATTTGTATGTGTACACACCTATGTAAATATGCTTGGTCCTTGGTCCCATAGGGTGAAGGGTTAGTTATTGCTATCCAGGAATTTGTCCAGTTTTCTATTTATAATTGCTAAGGTTACAAAGATGCAACCCTTTTTTCATCACGCGAGCCACAATCAAATTTACGTGCTCACTCACTCTTAACCAAGATCTGCATACATATGCACGTAACGTAAGCAATCCTGCACACTACACAGATTTAACATGTTGCAGTTATCGCTGTGTGTTACTAAAAGTATTAACAAAACAAAATTTGCTTGCTGTTCTGACCGTTAATATTTTCGGTAACAATTGCTTCGAATGTGCGTCATGTTCATGAATCTTTTTGAAATGTGTATAGTTAGCAAAAATTATGGAAAGATTAAATATTTATTAGAGTATTTTTTTCCTTTACAGGTACCATATTACATTTGATTAAGCACATTATTTTTTTGGGAAAATATTTAAGCCCTCAAACTCCTCCAATCCACATGGATCTGAAACCAGGAAAGAAATGGGATTGCTCAAAGTGTTCCGAAACGTTTAAAACTAAAAATGGGTTGACGCGACACATGATCACACACGATCCCGATGCCAAGGTGAAGTGTGAGGTGAGCGTGTACATACATAATTTTAAAAATATTTACAAATTCTTTAAATCCGCATCTATCTTTCCCAGGTTTGCGGTAAAGTTTCCAAAAATAGACGTGCCTTAAATTTACACAAGTGGAGGCTTCATACCCAACGGAATCGACCAAGTTGTGACACGTGTCACCGGGTGTTTTTCGATTCGAACACTTTACGACTCCATATTAACATGGTCCACAGCACGAGGGAACGACCCCGTTTCCCATGTACGTTTCCCAGCTGTGGGAAAACCTTCCTGAATAAAGGCCACGTGGTGAGGCACGTGCAAACGGATCATGCCGAGAATCCGATCCAATTTCCGTGCACACTTTGTGGCAAAGATTTCAAAAGGAGGCATGATCTTGACAATCACATTGCCACCCACACGACAGAGAAGACACACAATTGCGCCACTTGTGGGAGGAGTTTCGCCCGCAGAAGGGACATGAAAAGTCACGAGGTAAATAATTACAATGGAACCTTTTGTCAATCTATACCTGTATTGTTTAGAGAGTTACTTATATTTAAGAAAATCAAGCTAAAAATTAGGAATAACATCACACTTATCTTTCCATTGAATGGCCTCTTTACAGATAAATATTTACGGCAAAGTTCTATTTCTTAGTAAATTTTCTCTCGCTTTTTCTCCACAGAGAGAAAACCAAGGCGATCGAGTGAACTTTGCACCCCAATATTTTTCTTGAAAGGGGCCATTCAACGGAAAGATATGCGCCATCTTATTCGCAATTTTTTGCTAGTTTTTTTCATCGTTACAGAATCTCGATGTAGCTTGAAAAAAAAAACGGTTTTATTGCTAGCCATGTTTGTGGGAAAAGCCAAGCGAAAAATTTCAAAACGTGTGTATTAAATACATAATTTTACAGAATACGCATTTGGAAAGATCTGCCCGAACCGTGTTCGAGTGTCACTTGTGTACCCAGGCGTTCTTAAATAAACGTGATCTACATCCCCACATCCGAGTTGTGCATGAAAATCAGAGAAATTATCCGTGCGAATCATGTGACACGAGATTTTCCTACTTAATAGACTTGAAACGTCACGTGGAGGCGAAGCATGCCCCGAATAGAGAACAGATCCATTCCTGCGACAAATGCAAGTATAGGAGCCACTCGAGATACTATTTGGCCGCTCACGCAAGACGGCACAAGCCTGCGAGGCATGCATGTTATTTTTGCGGAGAGAAATCCATCACTTTTCAAGATTTAGTGCAACATTCGAGTCGCAATCATACCTTGTAAATTTTTTTTTAAATGTTATAAATGCGTTATTAAGGTTTTTAATACTTGTAAGGTCGTTTATAACATTTATGAAAGTTAGCATGGGTGTATTTATGGTCGAATAAGTAAATCTCACGAGGTTTAATTTTTTAGGATTTTGTAGGAAGTTTTTTAGTTTTATTTTCATGTTCTAAATAATATCTAACTTATGTAACTTGATGCTTCGTTAGCTTATTGTAGATAATGGAGCCAAATTATGCGAATTTAGTAGGACGATTGAGATATCGAATAAAATTGTCATAGTTGAATAATTATCTCCTTATTTTCAATTTCAAGCATTCATGCATGCATTAATTAATTTTAATGATTAATTATGAAATATATTTATGCAATTTAAGCATCACAAGTACATAAGTGTGGCAGCGTATCTAATGCACCTTGGTATTTTTAGCGAAAGAAATTATTTGCATCCCTCGAGCTCCTTTGTTGCTCAATGTATTTTATTATTAGACATATGTAATAACCCGTAGCAAACGAAATGTATTTAGCAAACTGGTGAAGTGACATGGTCACGGCATGTCAAAACTATGTCGATTTTTTAAATCCTCATCCAAAACTACGTCTAATCTAATCAATCTAAAACGGTCAAAACAAAAAATTCGACATCTCTGCCTGTTATCCTCATCACCGTGGCGCCGTGACTTGCGACGCCCATCTTCAAACTCATCCTCCGTACCTGAAAAATTAAAAACACGTTGGCTAAAACCACATGTCGAAATTCGAATCCTTTCTAAAGTTATCGTGGAGACGGACAGACGGACAAAACACTTCCATAAGGGGGTTTTCACCCAAGAATAAATATATGGGAACATAACATTGGTATCCTCAAACCTGGACCAGGAAGTTCTTGAGATGATAACAATCGCACGTATAAAATTAACCCAACTCATCCTAATCACACACACACACACACACACAAAGACACATATGTACGATGTATGTACATATCTATAATTCGGTCAGATTTCCCCTTTTACGTATGTATGTATTTATTATGTAATTAGGGTCCGATCCAGGAAGCACAATTTTTTTATGGCGCTTGGTTTCCCCTTAGAAGAAACCACGGATAGCAAAAAAGTTTATGCTTACTGGCACGATCATAAAATACGTAACGCATCGTTGGGTTACAGGATACCTTGTGCAACAAGGAGGTGTAGGGAGGAAGGGTGGAGGGATGCAAAAATTGGAAAATTTGTGGCACTTATTTTATGAACAGTCCCTTATGTATGTACATACTTGTGTACATGCTTGCTCCTGCCAGGCAAGGATACTTGGTTCAAATCAGCAAGTCGTGAATGGGCATCTGTCACCCTTTGTTCGTCACCATGGCAACGATATCATTTTCCAGACTCAACGAGTTCCCCCCTTTGTCCGTTTTATCCCGCACTGTTATTTCACCTTCTCCCTCGGAAGGGAGGAAGGGTTTGATTTTTTATTTCCCCGGACATTTTACATTTCATTTCAGTGTTTCATAAATTTACATAAAGTTCTAAGCATCTCAACTACTTCTTAGTAGGGTAAATAAATTAGTGTCATTTAAATTACGAGTATGTAGCAGCGGATCTGAAATTCTCGTCTAAATATGTAAGCAAATATTTTTAATACAGTATGTACATACGTACCTAAATAATTTTGTATTTGCTGCTTGTCTACGTATTTCACATTATTATTCAATGGAATGAGAAATAAGTGAAGCAATATATTTTTTCAGAATTCAAAATCCCAGCAACACATAAACCCATGCACTGCAAAAATGTGAACCATATAATTTAAAAGTGGTGAGTCAATTTATCATTATCTTGAACCAAGTTGTTTTCTAAATTGCATCTGTAGCTACATATTTACATATGTACGAATCAATTTTTAATAATCATTCATCATTTCACTGAATGATCAATGGACCAATTAAATCGAATCGAATGATTATTAATGTTTCACAAATCTGGGCATGCTATTTACCACTCGGACGGTCTATTTAATTCGTAATTTTCTTAATTCAAGGTCACAAAATTTATCAGCCTCTAACCCATCTCCAGGACTTGAGTCACACCTAATTTTGAATATCTTGGACAGAATCATCCTCACTGTTCATACACGAAATTGACCACACTTATGTATATACTATACTTGAAGTGAGTTAGTTATGTGCTGTGCGAATGGAGCTAAACTCACGAGAAACCCTAGTCTCAGCACAAGGTACTTCAGGAGGCCGTAGGTTTAAGCTCCACCCGCACAGTACATAACTCGTTCACTTTATGTATACCAACAGGAAATATGTTTTCCACATAAAACTCTCCCATCACACAAGTAACAAAGGCTACCGTTACCTAACTTTTTTCAAGGAATAGGTACTTTTTTTAAACAAATCTAAACTCCAAGAAATAGATATGTAACTTTACGCTTTGAATAGTTAATGCTGTCTCATTTCTAAATTAAGCAAACTATACACCCTAAGAAACACGGTAACTAAGTTGTTACCAGGCGGAGTATCTATGTGACTCTACCGCATGGTAATTAATTTATCATTGAGTGGTAGAAAATTACATAGTTACCAACTGGTAATATTTTCAAATTTCTCGACTGGGGATATTCCCGGTATGGTAGCAAAATGTCTGCCACGCAATAATAAATTCATTCCATGCGGCATTGTCAGATAGATACGCCGCCTGGTAATAACTAGTTACCGGGTTTCTTAGAATGAATTAAATCAAGAGTATCTTTAACCTGGCAAAAGAGTAAAGTTAACTTTACCCTTTTACCTAAATTTAAATTTTTATAGTGCAGATACATACATAATTACTTATTAACAGAGACACTTTTAAGATTCAGATATACATATGTACTTATAGTTATGTGTATGTACCCATTGATTGGGAAATGATTAATCGTAATGGATTTGATTTTAAATTCCATCACGCATAATCATTTTCCAATAAGTACGTACAAAACGTACACAGAAAGAGTATTTATTTATACACATTTTCATAAGTTCAACGTTACGAAACGTTCTGGTTTCATAATGTTGCCCGTTGTCCTCGGAGAATGCCGTTACTCGGCGGATAATTAATATTATATTAGGGTCATCAAGATGGTAATTGGCGACTTGAAGATTAGGTTCCTCTTTATGCAAATCCCACACAGTAGCAGCGTGGGTTTCGTGACGCATGTAGGTATTCCAACCAGTATTTCATCCTAGCTCTGCGCTCACAAAATTCATAAAATTCTTCTAGTCGCTTTTGTCCGTCTAAACTGTTAATTAATGCTTTGCCTAGTAATTCGCTCAGCGACAAATGCATAAAGTACAACGGGGAAAATTTGAAATAATTCGGCTAGTACAAGAGGAGGACTCCGGTTCCACTATGTTCCTAGCTTTTGTAATTTATCCACCTTAAATTGAACTAATAATTTCATATTATCATATTCTATTCACAGTTTAATTATCGTGTTCGATACATAATCGAATTGTGTATTTCATATCCTTCAACTTTTATGCTTTGTTGAAGGACTAAATTTGTTCTTGTATTGGTAATACAATTTTTAAATTACTTCTTTCTTCATCCTGTGACGCATGAAGGTAGTCATGCCTTGCATAAATTTTCCTCTTCGTCTTTCAACAAACCTCTTTCTCATTGTACTCAATAAATTAAGTTAAATAAGCATTAATTTATTTCCAAAATGATTACAATGATTGTAATATTGTAACATTTTTATTTAGATTATTTAGATGACATTAAATATGATAATTTTTATCGTAAAATACTGGTGATTAATAATTTTGCGTAGTTGGTATATGCAGATATTTATTCACGTCGTATGTATATTATAAAAATATGTCGTACTTATTGATACGAATAAATCAAAAATGCCCAGAAATAAATTGTCGTTGCTAATTAACAAATTCATAAATAAAAATCTCATGATCATGAAAACTAATTATCACTTTTTTGCATTAATCATATTGACTTACTTACTGCACAAACAGTATTCAGCATAGTTTGATGTTCTTCCAAGTAAAATGCATTCCAAAAAACATGAATTCGTGAAAATAAATCCAACACAAAAAAATACACAAGAAAAATAGATCATTCGGTCGTAGAAATCTTGTCGCGCAATATGAACACATATTATTTAGACAATTCTACACGCATTTAAGTATGGATACTTTGCATAATTCATAATCCTAACTATTGCATGTATATGATTCATATACAACAGTTAGGATTTCAGAAAATCGACCCTCAGTGTGTATACATAAATAAAAATTCCGAGAATAAATCCTGGTTATTTTTACACATGGTGAAATGAGTTTGTCTCAACCATCCCTGCTTGAGTTGCATGCCTCTTGGGGAAGATTCATAAATTATGTCACATCAAAGTGCTCATTTTGCATACCCTCTCTCCTCCCTTGTTACACGTTGCACCTCCTTTTTAAATATCGGCGTGTCACGTAAAACTTTTACCTTCCCAAGCCCTCTACGTTGACATAATTTATGGACGTTCCCTAAGGCCTGGTTGAACAAATGCAACCTTTTTCTTACTCATTTTAGAACCACGAGTCACTTGGCCATGCACTTCTCTTCATACTTTAACACTTACTAAGCTCCACGATGCATCTGCGACCATAACGTGGTAACGTTGTAATAAATAAAATAAACTAAAAAGAAGTAGTGGGGACGTTCATAAATTACGCACTGCAAAAAAACGTGATTTGTTACATATGCCAAATAGGCAAAATATAATTTGAGCCTTAGACCACCGGTCCCCCTCCAGTTACGCAATTTGTGACCGTCTCCTTGCTAAAGTTGTATTAAAAATAAATTGCTTATTACAGTTAGCTGAACTGGTAATTTGTGTTTGCAGATTTCTATTTTAATTTTCAACGATTAGAAAACCTGTACGTATACTTAAAAACTTCCGCGCAATTGGATCCCGATAGATGGATAAGAAAGGATTGAAAAAGTGGCAATGTCCCAAGTGCCCGAAAACGATAACAAGAAAGTCGAACCTGGCTAATCATCTTGCCACGCACGATCCCGATGCGAAAGTGAAATGCCAGGTGAGCGTTTAGACTTTCAATATCAAAACCATCTCCAACGTTAAATATAAAGGGTGGTAAAAATGTCCTGGTACAATGAAAAATTTTTCCATTGTAAAAATTCGTAAGCTGGTACCGAAATTTTTCCTACGAAATTCAACACCTTAAGAATTTTGAGAATGTGTGTTCCACAGATTTGAAGCAAATTAGAGTTAAATAATTGATTGCAATCTAAGCCCTATTCGCCGTTACATGTGATTTTCACTTTCCAAAATTTCAATTTATTTTTCCTTCTCCAAAATTTTGTAAAATTGTCCCTTACACCGAGACATTTAAACCACCTTGCATATCTATATGTCAGAATTTAACCCTTTGTTCAGATTTGTCGGAAAATTTTAAAAAATCCACCCACCTTAACCGTTCACATGTGGAGTGCTCACACCAACCGGGAACGACCCAGGTGCCAATTCCCACAACTTAAAGGAACATGTTAAAGCCATGCATGGTACGATGAGGAAACGGCCCCGTATTTCGTGTACGTTTCCCGGCTGTGGAAAGACCTATCAAAACAAGCGTAGTCTTTTGCAACACGTGAAAACTGAACATGCCGAAAATCCGGTCCGATATCGGTGCACATTTTGCGGAAAGGAGTTCAAAATGAGGCCTGTTCTTGAGCGACACATTTCTACCCACACGACCGAGAAGCCATACAAGTGTGCCACTTGTGGCATGCGATTCGCTCGAAGGGAGACATAAAAGATCACGAGGTAAATAGATTAGCATATTTCGGGAAAATTAGCTGCTTGTAAGCAAGTAGGTTAAAAAAAATTAACCTATTCTTATTAATAGTTCAAACTATGTTATATACATATTAATTAGCCATAAATCAGCCGGAATAAGACAATGACAATTTTATTTACTTAATTTTATCCCAAATTTATCTAGTAGTCCCGGAATGCTCAGAAATTCAATTTTCACAAGTATTCAAGACTAACTCCATCAGCGGCAACACTACCAAGATGAATATTCATTTTACAGGTGACGCATTTGGACAAATCTGCCCGACACGTGTTGCATTGTCACATTTGTCCTCATGCCTTCCTGGGTAAACGCTGCCTACAACGTCACATCCGAGTTGGGCATGAAAATCAGAGGAACTTTTCGTGCGCATTTTGTGACGCGAAATTCTTCTGGCTGGGGAATTTGCAGCGCCACGTGGAGACGAAGCATGCCACGAATAAAGAGCTCAAGATCCATTCCTGCGACAAGTGCGAGTACAAGAGCCACTCGAAAGAAAATTTGGCCTCGCACAAGAGACGCCACAAGGCTGCAAGTAAGGAATGTTACTTTTGTGGGAAGAAATATGTCTTGTTTCAAGATTTGGTGCAACATTGCAGGCGCACGCATACCTTGGAAAAGTAGAATTATGTTTTCAGATTAGTAGTTAAAATTTTGAAGTGATATATACTGTTTGATTTGTTCGGACTCCTTAAAACGAGGATAGAGTTTTACAAGGGGAATAGCCAAGGTGTACAGCTCCCCTAATGGATAAATCCGTGATTACATTAGCCGAATCAGCCGAATTACTTTATTATTTAACACCAGTTATTTTTGGTTTGGCGTAGAAGTTATTCTATTTATGTAGTATGATTTTTACGCCAAAATAAAAATGTGTTAAGCAATATAATAATTCGGCTGAATCGGCTAACATGTAGTCGCGGCTTTGTCCAGTTGGGGAGGAGCAGCTGTACACCTTGGCCAATTCCCTTGTAAAACTCTATCCTCGTTTTGTGCAGTCCAAACAAATCAAACAGTATAAATATACGACAATTTAGATGTTAAATTTATTTCAAAATTTATTTCAAAATTTAAAATTTGGTCAATACTGTACACCCGAATTAACTCGAATAAATATATATGTATGAAATTAAAAAGATGTAGAATACTTTTCAAATAGAAACTTTACATTTTCTATTTTTTCAAGCTTTGGAAAATACCCATACTAAAATCTAAACATTTCCTACCCCCATAATTGCCTTGGAACATCTAATCCCTTCATTAATTAGCTTTCAACATGCTGCACGCAACCTCTTGTCATCAATTTTCTTATGCAACCTTTTTGTAATTAAGTGCTGGACGCAATATGTACACATACAAAATAAAGTACAACATTAATACGTATAAACAGCATACATACTTACATACGTACTTATGAATAAGTTTGATCGAAATAATGAACAGACTTCCTGTTAAGAATTGAACTGGCAACTAAATTGCGACAAAGGCAAGGGTCGCGCACGGGGAAGTTGGTTCAGTTGTGATTGTGACAATAACTTCGGACAGGTTTTTAAAATCTGAAAATATAATGATTACTCTTTTCAGTTTCTTTTTATCTTGTCTTTATTTGTTCAGTTTTCATCCTCCAGTATTTACCGTTCTTAGCTCGCCACCTGACACGCCCGTCCTGCAGATTTCAAACTTTTTTGAAAACTGCGAAATTTCCTTTATTCACCAAAGGTTTATTGGATATAATTTTTCTCCTGTGAATAAATACTTTGATACAACACGAAAGAACAATATCCATACACTCTTAGAAAATTCAATATCTTTTCATGAAGTAAAATGGAACGTTATGCGCTTTAAAGTAAACCTCACTTGATTCGAAGTAAAATGGTTAACTTCATTCGAAGTAATGACAAAAGTCACCAAATGTGAAGTAAAACCACTATTTTCTAAACCATAAAGTAAGCTATTATACCATTTAGGAGGGGAGCTTGCGAGGTTGATAATAACAGATCTTGGTGCCCTTTGGATATGTGGTAGGGACCCATGAGTGTACTAAAACCCTGAAGTAGTTTGACTCCATGGCCACATTTGCGCCCGCCACACCCACTCAAAAATGCCCAAAAAACGCTTTCACTCGAGTTTTCACTCACTCAAATCCACGTCAAAAATCCTATTTTACTCGGATTTTGAAATTTCTTTCACCATTATACTCCCAGATAGTTGCTTTCTTCAATCCAATATCAAACTCAATTTTATTGATGATTATTTCGCAAACATAATTTGTTTTGTTGATGACTACAACAATGCTCATTCAGAATTTTAAATTTTAAAAATACTAAAAATTTCGAAAAAATTGAGTTTGATATTGGATTGAAGAAAGCAACTATCTGGGAGTATAATGGTGAAAGAAATTTCAAAATCCGAGTAAAATTGGATTTTTGGCGTGGATTTGAGTGAGTGAAAAGTGGGGTGAAAGCGTTTTTTGGACATTTTTGAGTGGGTGTGGCGGGCGCAAATGTGGCCATGGAGTCAAACTACTTCAGGGTTTTAGTACACTCATGGGTCCCTACCACATATCCAAAGGGCACCAATATCTGTTATTATCAACCTCGCAAGCTCCCCTCCTTAGAGTAAGCAAACCCCATTTAGGATATTCTTGGTCAAACCAGACGCTGACTTTTCCCTCGCTCTCATTACAACTCGCAGCTCATCCAGTCAGTGCTGGTTAGTTAAATTGATAATTAATTAATTAGTTAGTTATTAACTTATAAGCAAATAATGGAGGAAACGAGGAGGTTATTGCAACAATTTGGACGGGGACGCTGAAGGGTAAGAAATTTGCATAATTTATACACAAATTTAATTTACATTGCGTTTAATTTTTATTTTAATTGTCTTTAAACAGATGATGATATTACGGACGAGACTCTGTTAATAATTTCAGGAGAAAATTGTCAGGTTTTCTAGGTCATTTTAGGTCGGCTTTGGAATGCATTGTACAATTTGTGAGAACTTGGTATATCTTTGTTTTAAGTGCAAAACTAATTTTAAACCTTTAGTATAACATGAAAAAAATTATCTTAAGTTAACAGGGTCCAGCGTTTACAAATATCCTCACTAGTGGTTCATAATAAGGGTAATTTGTAATGCAATGTTGAATGTGAAATAAAATATATTATTAAAGTACTAAATACTGCGACTACGCTTAAGTAACTTTTCCTGGGGTCATCAAAGCAAGAAAGTAAAGTCATAATCAACGCGATTTAGGGTTACGGTCGTTACCCTATTGGGCGCTCAGTTACCCTGTGAATATTGTTACAGGGTAAAATGGCTTACTTTGTGGCCGAGAGAGAGCGATTCGCTATAAGTGGGGTAGTGGCACTTTGGAAGTTATATCGGGTTATATTTTACGTCATATAAAGTATGGATTTCTAACAGTGTACGCCATTGACCATACAAGTCAGGTACATTGAAAATGGGAAGCATAATAATTCCCATAATCTGAGACAACTTTTTGGCTCGGCTCGAAAATCTGCTAGGATTAAGATAAAATTCTTGAATTTGGTGATATCGATTAACAATTCCAAACAAGGTGCTCACAACCAATTATTGACCACAACACGACAAACTAATCCCGATTATCTTTTCACCTCCGTAATCTTTCCTATTCAGAGGGAATATTACTTCAATTATGCAGCAGAGTCGTCGTCAGCCGCAATCCTGGTATTTTTTAACCTCTTAAATCCTATAGAGGTTGTGATGCCATGCATTGTCTGTATTACGCTTTCCTTGATACGAGTAATCCATATTTCATCACTGGGTGATATTTCCTATCCGTGGGAAACAATAAATACTAAAGATCTACATGGAGGTATCATGCTAACGATGATAAGAGACAAGAATCCCACCGCACTTGGTCAGTCTAAGCCGGTATGACGTAAACGATAACTCGATCCGGTGTACCTTAAACCTTTTAAGTGAACGCTATAATTTCACGTTTGCTAAAACAATGGGAGTGGCTGTTGAGGAAATTAATCGTGTAAAGGGCATCATTGGAAAAATGGATTTTAGAAGTGTTTTAGATGAACAATTCCTCGCTCAAATCGAAACAGAACAATTATTAATTTACGACGGAGAACTGGCCACAATTGATTTCGCCATCGTTACCCAATTCCCTCACGCGGAGAACAGCATTTTGGGCGTCTTTACCCCGTTTGAGGGTGCTATCTGGTGGTCGATTTTGTTTTCTTGTATAGGAATAAGTTTAATTCTGCAATTTCAAGGCAAAGGATTGCCTAATAACTTTAGTGGGTTGAGATCCATACGGGACTTTATTATGGTCCAGTCACTCCTCTTCGGACAAGCCATTGCGGACGAGATTATCAAAAGCGTTAAGAACAAGCAAGTAGCACGCCCTCTTTTGGCAATTTGGTTCTTCGTGTGCTACCTTCTCATGGAGAATCTCTATCAGGGAAGTATCTATTCCGATTTGACCGTCGTACATCCACCAAACGTTCCCAAAACAGTTCGAGAACTTGTCGCCTCCAATATGACAATTATCACAACTTCACAAATGTACATAACCTCCAAAACATCGAATGCCCTTGAACGAACCTCCATCTTGAAGCAGTCCATAATCCCAGAAATTTTGAAAAAGAATTTCAGTAAAAAAGTCAACAAATTTATGAAGAAGATGAACTCACAAATCGACTATATCCATGATAGCGCCGATGATATATCAGTCGTTAAAAATATTTAAAACTCATTGAAAATTTGGTCGAACAAAACTTCGAAATGGATACCGCCAAAAAAGACCTTTGCAATTATTGATATGCTCCAGGACTTGGAATTATACATCGAATCGTTAAATACCCTCGATAAAAGGTTGGTCATTCAGACAAGGCCGGATGTCTCTTTTAGCTTCAGTATGGTCACATTTGATCGTCGGAACTTCATATCTCCTAAAATTGGAGCGTTTCTGTTGCGTTTGGCCGACACATGTATTTTGGGGCGGTTCGAAGCCCTTGACAAAGCTAAAAACAAATTGAGATTTATCAAACAATTAGGGTCAGAGGTGTACTCGAGGTTTGTTGCGAAATTGAATTCTAACTTTAAGCGGGTCACGATGTTTCATGAAAGATTTTTTTTAAATGACGACGAGACTGTTGGGTCTTGTGGTACGTGTTAGCTTTATGTTCAGTTGTGGTAGCGGTGGCAACTGTTGTTTTCTTTTTGGAATGTGTGTCTGGACATGCAAAACTGAAGGTGGGTGCGGTAAAAAGTATGGTGAGACGGATGCAGTTAACCAATGTCAGGGTGGTTGACACAGGCCTAATTGAAATCGGAGCTAATAACAATTTCTTACAGGAGTATGTACTGTTAGTAAATTTCATAACCTGTGAATAAATTTATCACCTTTCCCACAAATAAAAAATCTGTATTACAAGGTTTAACAAGGTGACATATTTAGTTTTGCTTTGAATCTAATGTATGTACACTCTTAGGCAAATGGTATTGAATTTTTGCGAATCATTACCGGACGGAGTACATATATGACTCTACCGGCATCGGTAATATCGATCGTTACGGCGCAGTAATGTGGTGGTAATGAAATCGTTACCACCCAGAATCAAACTATAACCTATTCGGTAAGGAATTATTACAAAATCAATACCAGTACGGGGTACATATGTGACTCTACCGGATGCTTTACAGTGTATGTATGTATGTAGATGAGAATGCGAGAAGATATTTACGTATAAGTGAAAATTGTCCAAAAAAGTATATCAACCTTATGCTGTTATAAAAAGATCAAAAAATGCCCCTGACAACCAGAAATTGAATTTCTGGAGATATTGATCACCCCAGGGCCAAAAATATATTCACACATACATTGACAAAAATACCATCTGGGAGTACAACAACGGTGCAAAATTTTGAAAATTCGGGTGAAATTTAATTTCTTGCGAGAATTTCAACGAACAAAAACGGGCTTTCTAAGTATTTTCGTGTTTGGGGTGCCATGAGTTGGTGTGGCGGGGGAAACGTCGATAATGCATACCCTCATTCCTTCCTTGTTACGAGTTACAATCGCTTTTCACATATCATTTTTGTACTGTTAGGGGTCCAGAAAATCGATCACAAGCTTCATGAGTGTTTATAAACTGACAATCAGCCCAGGATATTTTTATGCATTAAAGTTAAATGAAAATTTCTGCGCGAGTAGTTTGTCTCCTGTGGAAGGTCCATAAATTACGTAACATAAAAATTCCGAATTGTCCATACCTTCCCTCTTCCTTGTATTACGTTGCAACCTCCTTTAACATATCGAGATTTCACGCAAAACATTTACCTCGCAACCCCCTTTATCGTGAAATAATTTATGGACGTTCCCTTGCGTCTGGTTGAAAATATGCAACCTTTTTCTGACAACATACTTACTTAAGTCACTTGGCAATGCATTTATCTTAAAACTTTAATACTTCCACGACCCTAAACACCACGGTGCACATGTGAGGATAATTTCGACACGTTTCGACACATAGGTAAGCCAAAAAAAGTATTGGCGGACGTTCACAAATTACGTGATGCAAAAAAACACAATTTTCTATACCCTTCCTACTCCTTTTAAAAGGGGCTAAATATCATTGGAGCTTTAGGTAGACCCCCCTCACCCGTTACGTAATTTGTGACCGTCCCCTTGCTAAAGGTGTATTATACATGCATAAATAAGTTTGGACAGTTAGCTAAACTGGTAATTTGTATTTGCAGATTCCAAGTACCTATTAATTAAATTGTCAACGCTTAGAAAACCTTTCAATTTAAAAACTGGATCTTGATAGGTGGATATGAAGCCAGTGAATAAGTGGGAATGTCCCAAGTGCTCGAAAACGCTGGCAACAAAGGCGATCCTTACCACTCATCTCGCCACGCACGATCCCGATGCGAAAGTGAAATGTCAGGTAAGCCTCCAAATTTCTAAACGGTTTTCTAAATATTTCTGCACTGCAATAACTTATGGACCTCGTCCAAGCGTTTAACCCGAAATACTATTTATAAAATTAAACCTTGTTTAACAATTTGGACCATGTACATATGTACATATGTCAATTTGACCCTGTGTTGCTCAGATTTGCGGGAAAATTTCAAAAACTCCAGCCAGCTTAGCCGCTCACATGTGGAGCGTTCACTCCGACCGGGAACGTCCTAGGTGTGCCACATGTGATCAGGTATTTTCCAGCGTTAGAGCCATGCGTGCCCATACTGAGATCGCCCACAGGAAGAAGGAGCGACCCCGCTTTCCATGCACGTTTCCCGGCTGTGAGAAATCTTATTTGTACAAAGGCCACGTGGTGAAGCACGTGCAAACTAAGCATGCCGAAAATCCGGTTCGATTTCCGTGCACACTCTGTGGAAAAGAATTTAAAACGAGGACTGAACTTGTGCCACAAATTTCCACCCACACGACGGAGAAGCCACACAATTGTGCCACTTGTGGGAAGGGGTTCGCCCGAATGGGAGACATGAAAGTACACGCGGTATGTAAATACTTATGTAAGCATATTGTGGGGAAATCTATGTAGGTGAAAAATACCAACCTTTAGTGTGGCCGATGAATCTATGAAATCGTAAGATGGGGGAGTTGGCATTAAATGTAGTAGTCACCAACTTTTGCTGAATTGAATTTATGCAAATATCTCCGCTAAACCTGAGCATTGCCAGATAATGCGATTTTGAAATCTTATACTAATTAAATTTGTGATCTATTGACCTCTGTTTGCTCCAAATCGGTGAGCATACTTTGGGAGACATTAGAATTTTCACTTACAAATTGTAAGTAATTTTGGGGGTCAGCTTGTTATGCCTGATTTCTGGCTAATTTGCAGTTTGATACCAAAATTAAAAATTAAAATATTAATTTTGCAACACCGCATTTATTGGTGTATTTATTTGAAAAGTGGATGTATGTACCTAGTCATCCCAAATTTATGTACCTTGGAGTCCAAAAATGCTTAAATATTCAACTTTGTAGTGACAATTAAAGGCATTCATTATCACTACATAATAATCACTTACATAATCATAATAGTCATAATCATTAACTACACTCTAACCAACATGAACATGTATCCACATTGCAGGAGACCCATTTGGAAAAATCCACGCGAGACGTGTTACAGTGCCACGTCTGTTGTCGGACCTTCTTAAGTAGACACGGTCTACAAAATCACATCCAAGTCCAACATGGAAATCAGAGGAAGTTTCCGTGCCACTTATGCGGCACAATATTATCCACCTCATCAAGCTTAAAGCGTCACATCGAGGCGAAACATGCGGCGAATAGAGAGCTACCCCATTCCTGCGACAAGTGCGAGTACAGGAGTTACTCGAAAGTCAATTTAGCTAACCACGTGAAAAGTCACGATGTCGCGAATTGGAGAGAGTGCTATTTTTGCAAGAAGAAGTATGTCACCTTCCCAGGCTTGGTTAAACATTGTAGCCGAGTTCATTGTCTCGAGAAGTAAAATAGTAAATATTTACATATATACATAAATGTGGTGCATTCTGTTTAGTACTTTATGTTTGATATATTGTAAAGGGTATAGATTTAATTCGCCCCGATCTCTCCTCTCAATATTTGAAAACTTGCACCTCAAAAACCGTGAAAGTTTCGATGTCAATTTTTTTATCAGATACATATGTATGCTTTGCTAAATAATTAGTCATTCGACAATTTATTTTAATCTTGTCTTTAACTCTGTTCTTTTGACTTTGTGCTAATTTTCAAAAAATTGTATCGGGTTCTAAAAAAATCGGAAAGAATTAAATCAATCACCCATTAGTTTATAATTTGCATGTGGTGGCCATGTATGTAAAATGTGTCTTCCTACTTATGTATTTAGGGTTGATTAAGGTTTTATATATTTTTTGATATGGTATTTTTTATTATTATTATAAGAGGTTTTCTTGTCACCTTGTTTGCCAAAGAGACGTGCAGATCTTTGTATTAGAACTTCAAAAAGTTTATAAATTTGTAAATCAATACATATGTATGTACAGACTAAAATATGGAGGATTATGACTCCAGAAAATTTCCTCCCGAAACATTCTGATTTCCATGCATGTATCTTTTCATATGTCCTATTTTTTCAAATCTGAGACAATTTTTAACCAGAAAACTTGCAGTGTTTCACACATGCATAACTGTTCAGGTAACGTGCGATGGTGTAAAATTTAAAATATTAAATGTATCCTTTTTTTACATGCATAAATTCTACAACAAAGTTGCATCATTTTATATTTATTTGGCGATAAATAATACGCTGTATATACTTGTATTCAAGTGTACAAAAGAGGTTTATTTACAGGACAAGTTAACTTGTGCATACATACATAAATCCGTGGTATACTTACATACGTATGTATGTATGCGACCACATATGCACATAATTGCACTGATTATTTAGCATCATCACTACCCAGTTAACTATGTAATTATTGTACATTCGAAGTAAACCCACTGGATCACTTTCCAGTCGTTTTTTGTCCAGTCATTCCGAGTAAATAATGTACATAAGGATGTATGTAAATATGTATGTATTCACAATCGCGATGCTACGTACATACTTATAAATCATATGATGCTTGGTAATGTTGTATTCCTTGTGATGCACATACACGTCCACTTTTCAGCTCCAGCCACGTATTACATAATATTTATCTACCATGTATTTATTTATAATGTTAAAACTGCAGAATCATTCAGTCACTCGTCATGATCCGTATAAAACTGTGTGTAACAAATATTAAACGCTCAGTCATCTTGTCAAGTTTACAAATGTGGAGTGAAATATAACTTATTTAGGGCACATAATTTACGTCGTTACACAAAAATGGACCCCTTCCTAGTGACGGTAACGCTATTTGTGGGAGTTATCCTGATTTTATTCTACCTGGCAAACAAACCGAGAAACAGTCGGTACCCAAAAGGTAATGCATATCTATGTAAAATTAGCTTATTTGTACTGTATACACAATTTTTTCTTAATATCTACGAAAAAACGTAAAAATAGTATGGATTTTAAGCCAAATTTTGTTTTTTTAATTTGTCAACAGCATGAAGATCTAATTACTCCTCTTAATTATATATACTTCCAAAATGTACATACACGACTTAATTAATTGATGAAACACATTAAAATTCCTAGGTCCCCTTAGATTTCCTCTCCTCGGAAACATTCCTCAATTATTGTGGGGTCGCGTAGTGGACAAGAAACAGAGGCAGGAAATATATCAGGAATATTCAAAAATCTATGGACCCGTCTTTTCCACAAAGTTTGGTCCAACTATAAAGTACGTCAATTTTACAATTTCATAAAAATACGAGATTTTTTTGCATAGATTTAATTTTTGTTACTGCAAATATTTTGCAATAATTTTGCATATTATTACACAAATAAAATATACATGTCGTGTTACAGCTCTGTGATATTAAACGACCCAAAAGTTATAAAGGAAGCTTGGAATAAATTCGAGTTATGTGGTCGACCAAAACTGCACGGAACTGCGGCTCGTACCGGTGGAACGATTCGAGGTATGCAAAATTTCATAAAAAACAATATACCTACATAAAAAATTGGTCACGCAAAACCAAAAAAAAAATTACGATTGTATGCAATGCATCAACGGGTCTATGCATAAATAATGTGTCAGGATTTGTAGAAAAACGGCCAAATTCTGCATGCATGGCGACCCATTTCTCATTTTTACGAATTTGCATTCTAAATTTGATAGAAAGTAAAACAAAAAATTTGATAGGTTTATAAAAATTTTAAGTAATTTGTACACTCTTAACAATAATGTTCTCCTAAAACAAAATCTAAATTCAAATCCTCTAATTATATAAACCTTCCTAAATCCAGACTAACGTGAACTTGATAAAGAGTAAAATTTGCTCTAGATTTATTACAGTTTATTAAATAGAGAATTATGAATGCATTTCCTTTTCAAAAGAGTAACATTATTTTTAAGAGTGTGAATTCTGCCAGGAATTTTATTCCAAGACGGTTCCGAGTGGATGGAACAGCGTCGCTTCACGATCCGTCAGTTACGATCCTTCGGTTTTGGGAAGCGTTCCATGGAGCACCTCGTCATGGATGAGGTCACCGAATTGGCTGACACGTTGAGAAAGGACGCCACCGCCGGGGTTGCGGTTTCCACGCAGAAAATGTTCAACGCCGCCGTGCTAAATTCTCTCTGGAGGATAATGACCGGGCAAAGATTTTCGCACGACGATAAGGAACTGGACAGAATTTTGGATTCAATTCAGAAATCTTTGACAGCTCCGGTAAGACGGGGGACATACAATGTTTTTTTAAATTTTATAAATTCAGAGCACACCCTTCCCGAACGGCGTTTAGTATTCACAAGAATAATTGTCCAGAGATCGTTTCATGTGCGTGTTTTAAAAAAGTGCAGATATGCAAATTGTCACGAATTGTGTTTAAAAATTCTGGATGCGTTCTAAAATTTATGATATCGCGGGTATTGGGTAATTATATTAAAAGTCGCGTGGCAATAATTTGTGGATAAGCATGATTTAAAAATTCCTGGAATTTTGCATATATATATGTGTATAAGTCTTTGAGAATTTTTTTAACTATTTTTCTTCAAACGTGTTCTGCATATCCAATACTTGTAAAATTCGAAATTTCAATTTTTTTTTATTTCAAGATAAACAAATAAGTAACTCATCAGTAACTCATTTTTATACATATATTCATTTTTTCCACAATTTCCAGGCCGGTCTCAGCTTCGTATTCCTCTTTCCGATAATAAAAACCATAGCACCAAATCTCTCCGGATGGAACGAATACTTAAAAGAAATGCTCGAGGCGACCAATTTCATTCGAAAATTTGTCACAAAGCGGCTCAAAAACCCGACCGTTACTGATTCCCAAGAAGCCGAAGACTTTACGGATGTGTACATTAAAGAAATTAAAGAAACGACTGATAAGGAGTCGAGTTTTTATCAAAATCGTGGAGGTATTAGTTTTTCATAAATTAATTATTTCAATTAACAATTTATTTTTTACTTTTTTGAATAATTGTGTCAGAGGAGACCTTGATGGCCACGTTGCTAGACTTATTTGTCGCTGGGGCCGAAACGACGAGTACCACGCTGACTTATTTCTTCCTCTACATGGCGTTATTTCCGGAAAAACAAGAAAAGCTTCAGAAAGAGATTGATGCAGTGGTGGGAACTAGACATCCCACTTTAGAAGATCGGACTAGGTATGAGTCACTTGCTAATAATGTATTTATGAGTCAATATCAAATCAATCGACACTCTTAAAAATATTTTTACCCATTTGAAAGCTAAATACACTCTGAATTTTAAATTAACTAAACTATACTAGATATAGAGTACCATTAACCTGATAAAGATTAAAGTTTAATCTGGATAGCTTACTAAATATAGAATTCAAAGTGTCAGTTTTATAAAAGGTTAATATATTTTTAAATAGTGTACCACAATCACATGACACATTTCCTCTTAAAAACTACAAAACGATTACAAAAATGTATCCGTTTCTTTCTGTAGAATGCCATACACGGAGGCGACAATTATGGAAACCTTGCGGTTTTCATCTATGGTTCCGTTAGGACTGATTCATCGCGCCATGGAAGACACCGAACTGGCGGGTTTCTTAATTCCGAAAGTGGGTAAAATTCTTTTTGGAAATCTTATGACATCTGATTTTAATACTTTCATTTTCTAGAACACCTTTCTCACCGCGAACCTGTACAATGTCCATCACTCCCCCGAAATCTGGGGTGACCCCGCCAATTTCCGCCCGGAACGGTTCCTCTCCCCTGACGCCACTCAGGTCGTGAAGAACGACGCTTTGATGCCGTTTTCGTGGGGAAAACGCCTCTGCCTCGGCGAGCAGTTGGCCAAGGACGAACTTTTCCTCTTCGTGACCACGCTTCTCCAGGAATTCGGCGTCCACGAAGACCCCTCCAGCCCGGAACCCTTAACGACTGAACAAGTCTCCGCAAACATTATAAATCCGCCCAAACCACACAAACTATTGTTTAAATTGAGAAAAAATTAATACAAATATTTAAATATGTAAATGACATATATTTATATTCGTTGCAGTAAATTAAACAACTATGTAACTAGATAAATATAATTTGAGCGCACTTATTAAATAACCTTTAGCCGTTAAGTATTTGGTGATGAATGAATAAATTATTCAATATTCAAAATTTGAATTAATATTGAACGAATATTATATTCTGATTTTGAATAAATGAATATTGAGTGAATATCTATTCAATTAGTGTGAATGAATAATGAATGAATACTTTTTTCATCATTCATTTTTAACTCAATGCTTAATACATAGGGAAAGTTTAGGAATTCATCTAATACTGTGAATTTTGAATAAAATGCATAATGAAGGAAAAGTGAATAATGAATAAATGTTGAATACCAAATTATTGAATATTTTTTTTACAAATTATAAATGAGTGAATAAGGATTAAATATTGTTTTCAAGGCTTTGAATGAATAAATATTTTTTTTGACATGCATGCATGCATTGTATCTACAGTAAAATGAAATACTGTAAATAAAGTTGTTCACTTATTTATACAGATATGACCAAGGTAACCTTATAATACAACAATAACGATATGTATACTCTTAGCAACTTGGTAACAAAACTCCAGATTTCGTTGACACCAACCGTCGGTGTCAACGTCAAATCCATTAAATGGTGTCAGAATGTTGTTGAAAAATGACACTGAAAAAAAATATGTGCTGACACCGTACAAGTAACAGCGCTGTTTCTTCAATGGTGAGACCGAGTAAAAATCCGGTAAAGAATGGACACAGCCCAATGTTAACGCGGGAGCTAAAATTCTAAATCAACACTGGATTGTGTCAGTCTTTCTTCGCAACGCACGGTTCGGTTTGGCCGTTATTATTTTCTTTCTTGACAAAAAAGATTAACAAAAATGGATAAATTGACCCGTGTCTCTAATTCACTGCGGGGAAAAAAATTAATTGTTTGTAGTGGGGACTATTATCAATTTATTGAATCAGGTATATAACAGGTTAATATTATATTAATTTATGTATAAGGTTAAAATTATTTTACTCCGTGCATTTTTATACTAAATTTATTCGTTTCAGTGAAAATAAAATTCGATATTGGACCTGACGCCGAGATCTGTCTTCAAGATCACGAGGGAGCCGAGATTGATGAACAAGTCTTCCCAATTTTATTGGAACAGCCGGCCACCCCTAATATAGAGTTCATCATCAAAGGGGAGGAGCAAGCTGAATTGTCCTTGGATTATTCATTTGCGCCGAGCTCATCATTAGTATATTGTAATTGTCATCTTTAATTTTTCTGCAGCTACATATTTACCTATAGCCTTAATTAGATCCTTGGCATTAAAAACTTTCTACATTTCCAGCTGAAAACTCAACTAAACACGGGAATTCATTGCCAGTGCTGTCACCTATTAAAGCAGTGCCACAAAGTCCCCAATTTACCCAGGTAAAGAATGCGATTATAAGTTTCAATAAATTAAGTACTATTTTATATAAGTTTTTCTTAGATCTTGGAGTCTATGGTGCAAAACGACCTCGAGCTAAACCGATTGGTCCGCGATTGCAACGATAAAGGATTTGTCGACAGCGCAACTTCTTCCGTTCTGATTAAGTCCTTTGTCGCAAAGTTAATTTAACTGAAAGGGTTAGGCAAATTTTAAGGCATTACTAGGTTAATTACAATATGTTCTTTAACATTAGATAGTCGTTTATATATGTATGCATAAGGCTCATCAGGCTGCTCTTATTACACATATTACATGTAGTTTCTTCATTAAATTTCAGTGAGTCGCCGTCTACTGCTGATCAAAAATTACTTGAACTCGGAATAATTTCCATAATCCCTTGTTGGAAATATTCGGCCTCAGAGAATGGAATTGTATGGGAAAATTATACATTTTTTTTAATTTACAAACTTAATGTTAACTTTTTTCATAGGACATACTTTATGACGAGATAAACCGGTCCGGACTGATCCAATCACGCCTACGGTCAATTCATCGAAATTTAAAAGGGACCAAGCCACCCAAACGCGTTCAGCCAACGTCGAATACTGGACCAAAGCCGAAATTTCCTAAGCCAAGCCTCGAGGAATCCAGCGATGAAAATGTGGATTTGATTGCCCAATTAAATTCCACCACTCTGAAGGACGAAGGCGAATTGAAACGCCTGACCCTCGAAACATTTTCTCATCGCAACTATTTGAGACGGACGAGTGACCCATCCATTTTAAGGTTATATAGGAAATTTCAGGAATAGAATTTAATGGTGATATTTATAATACATAAAACTAATTTTTAAACCAACTCAACTAATCAAATATACTGACATTTTTTTCTTAGATTAACTTCGAATTCTCACAGTTGTACCCGGAAGAGGAGAATAATTTTCTGAATTCGTGGCAAATTTGGACGAAACAAATCCTCCAGGAGGCAAAGTATATTAACAAATCTCCGGCTCTCTTAAAATTTCTTACTGAAAATTGCGGTACAAAATAAATTCATGATTACATAATATTAATTAAAATTGTGTAAGTTGATTAAATTAATTTTATTCAGGCGAATGGGATGAAGCAATCGGGGCTCTGTTTACGCTGCTTCATTTAATTCCCCCTACCGCACAGGGAAAGGCAAAGGGGAACCGGTGCAATATGGAGGATGCCAAAATAAGACTCGTAACTTATTACAAGGCAATAATCAGTTATGTCATACATTTTGTTATTTTCATAAATCTGTATTTTCATATTGCACATTTTCTCTTGCAGGAAGGCACGCCGCTGCAATCTATTTTGGACACGTGGAAAGGGGATGTAAAACAGCCAAATCTCCTATGTCTCGGAAGTGACAAAAACAGCTTGGACAATTTTTTTATTATCTGTGACCGCCTACTCCTTCCACTTGCCGCAAGGAACTCCACCGAAGCCATCGATTCCTTGTTCAAATCGCACTATGTATTTGGAACTGAATATGACGTGAGCTTGCGGGGATTGTGGAAGTTTATTCAAGTGTACATCTTTAAGTTGGACCCTGAAGAACCAAATCTCCCCATGAAAGTTAAGCAAGTCTTCAACCAGCTCAACCGGGGAATCAATCAATCGCAAATAAATGTTTAACTGTCCGGAATGTTTGAGGTTGGTCATAGGTAGCGATGAGCTAATAAGTCACGTGAAGTATATTCATTCTTATAGTCATGTACATTTTAAAAAGATTAATTGTCCTTTTCAAACATGTTGTGCCGGGCTAAGCTCATGGAGTGGATTCTTGCGTCATATCAAATCTCATGATAATTCAGTAGTTAATTTAATTTATCAGTGCAATAGTTTGCAAAATATTTCGCAGTCAAAATCTGATTATACTGTAAGCGTAGAAAATATTGAGGGGATATCTAAAACTTTTGACGCCGATAAAGCAGAGCAATGCCCTTCTGCTCTGGAAAATATGTCAGTGGATCTAGGAATTAAATTAATTACTGAATTGTTGTCTAACTTTTGTTCCTCTTTACTTGCTACAGGTGTAACAAATTCTACAGTAGATTACGTTGTGAGAGAACTTAGATATTCAATGAATGATATCTTCAATATTATTCTCAAATTAGGGAAACCTTTCTGCCCAAATGAATTTGAGAAATTTTATTCACAGACAATTAGCCTACTTAAATCGTTTGATGAAATAAAATCAGGATATCGTAGACAAAAGCTTTTGCTGAAGGAAGATCAATTTGTCTCGCCAAGGGAACTAACATTAGGAAGCAGGGTGGAATTAAGGGTTAATAATAACAAAAGGCAGCAAGTATTGGTTGAGGACACATTTATGTATGTACCTCTGCTAAAAACATTAGAAAAAATTGTAAAACTTCCGGAATATTCCAGGTATTTAAACTTTCATGAACATACTTCAAAAACTTACGCGTGTTATTCTCATTCAAAGTCATTTAAATCCAACGAATTATTTTCGAAATTTCCAGACTCTTTACAATTACAATTGTTTTATGACGATTTTGAAACGGTTAATCCGCTTGGGTCTAAACGGGGAGTTCATAAAATTGGGGCTCTATATTTTGTGCTACGAGATTCTCCTGACTTTGTCAATTCTCAACTAAGAACAACACTTATTAGCTTTATTTTACTCCGAGGATGCGAAAAAATACGGCCTTAATTCAATTCTTAGCTTAATTATTTCAGACATTAAAATTCTTGAAAATGAGGGTATTAAAACATTAGGGATGGAAAAACTATTTGGAACAGTTAGTACCATCGTTTTTGATAATTTAGGAGGCAATGCAATTTTGGGATTTCATGAGTCATTCAATGCCAGTAATTACTGCAAATTAATTGAATTTGTTGCACAAGCAAAGAAGAGGCTCAAACTATTTTCCAGCACGAGAAAATGAAAATCAGAAACGCAGAAAATTATTCTCTTGATCTACAAAGAAAAACAAATGGGGTACAGAGACCTTGTATTTTTAACGACTTGAAATATTTCAAATTTCTTGATTCACCTTCTGTGGATATCATGCATGACCTATTGGAAGGCGTCGTGCAATACGAGATCAAGTTAGTACTTCAAAAGTTAATTTCTTTAAAGTGTTTTGATTTGGACACTATTAATCAAAGGCTTATCTCGTATGATTTTGGATATCTAGACTCCAAAAATAAACCAAGCCCGATAAGGTTAGATAATACTGGGAATAGGATCGGTCAAAAGCAGCTCAAGCGTGGTGCCTTATTAGGCATTTGCCAATTATAATTGGGGATCTAATTTTCACAGACGAAGCGATAAAACAGTGGGAATTAATCCTTTTGCTTTTAGATGTGATGAGTATTGTTTTTTGTCGTGAGTTTTCTGAGGCTATTCTGATTAGATTAGAATCATTAATTGTACAGCATCATTGCAAATTTAAGGAACTGTTCCCTGATTGTCGCTTAATCCCAAAACATCATTTCATGTGTCATTATTCTTTCGTTGTCAGGCAAAGTGGTCCATTAATTTCTCTTTGGACGATGAGATTTGAGGGAAAGCACAACTATTTTGCACAGTTAGCAAATAATACAAAAAATTTCAAAAACATCTGTCACACTCTTGCTTGGCGTCATCAGCAATATTCTGCCGTTGCCTTCAAAAAATTTTCAACTCAGATTGCTCTAAAAGCAGACAACATATTTTGTGAGTGAGTGTACCTAGCTCTGGATTCTTTTTCAATACTGTAAAATGGGCCCACCCTGATTTTCAGAGATCTACAACTTTTCAACAACTTTCGCCTATAAGCCGACATTTGTTGTAATTTCCAAAAGTTTAGAAACTTTTCTGACCCAAGCGTCAAATTTGTGCTGACAGGAAACAGAACGTGCGTAGA